ACATGAAGATTAGATATGTACATATATGTATGTTTATATATATATATATATATATATATTTAATCTTTATATATATATATATATATAAAGATTAAATGTATATATGTATATTTATATATGCAGAATATTTCAGGATGTGTTAAATGTCCTAATTTAAAATATAATTTTAGGAACGCATGAAAACAATTTTCCTCTATAAATGTGCTTATAAATATTTTGTTTAAGATATATTTGATTTTCTACTATTAATAAAGAGAAAGGTTTATGCATTCAGCTATTTCTGTTTTTCATAGATTTCCCCTGTCTCTTAGAATTGAGATCGATTTATTATATATGTTATATATGTTAATATGCTAATAATAAGGCTAACTAGTCTTTATAGTATCTTGTGGATAACATAAATAAAAAATATCAATATTTGTAGAAAAGTACATTTTATAATTTATTTATATGTGTCAATGCTATATGTCAATGCAATTATGTAAAAATATCATATATGGTAACAAATTATTTCAAAATTTCTAATTTAAAATATGTCCTAACTTAAAATATGAATTTAGAACCTCTAAATAAGTATCGGAATTGTAATATCATTCCTAACTTTCTTTTAGATGTCAAATGATATGTATTATGCTTTTTGTGTAGCAATCATTTATCGGCTGTTCTTTCGAAATCATGTTCCGATTTGGGTCAAATTTTGTAAATAAGTTCTTTCCAGATAAAATAAAAAATGCTTAAAAAGTATCTTAATTTTTGAATCACGAAAAATCCTTCTCGTATACTTCTTTTTTATTTAACAATATATGTCATTTGACATCTAAAGTTACAGAAAAGTTAGAAATGATATTACAATACCGATACTTGTTTAGAAGTTTTAAATTTATATTTTAGGACATTTAATCTTCAAATAATTTGTTACCGTATATGATATTTTTACATAATTGACATATAGCATTGACACATAAATAAATAATAACTTATATCTTTTCACAACCATCGATATGTTTTTTACTTATCCTATCAACATGATACTAGAAAGACCAGCTAGCTTTAATAACATAGTTAGTAAACCGGTTTTTGTCTTAAAAGGCAGGTGAAGTCTATGAAAAAACAGAAATAGCATTCTGAGAGAATGCATGAACTTTTGTCCTGATGAATAGAAAAAAACCAAATAAATGGAATACATGTGCATGACAAGAAACACTCCAACTATCAAAAGAAAAATACTATGCAATATAAGTAGTAATCTACTTGAACAAACTCTACTGTTTATGCATTTAACATTTAACATTTAACATTTAACATTTAACATTTAACATATAAAATAAATTAATTAACTTGACGACTCAAGTATAAAATATATAAATTTAACTAAATAATTAGGCAATATCGAGCCAACGCAGATGTAAGGCATGAAGCAATAAAAACCTACTTCCATAATCCACATTTTATTGATGATCAGTCATATGTTTCGGACTCTTTTCGAACCTTCTTCAGTGAAATACAGTCAAATAGTTCGACATTACGCGACCATCTTAATCGCACGTCCGATCTATGAATCTCCTAACGGTACAAGACGTAAGTAAAGTTGCATCGGACACAAAAAACGCATCGGAAAAGGACACGAACATCTCGCTATGTCCAACGACACTTAACCGACAATTAGCGGAACGAGAAATTCATTCTCGACCTAACGACCCTAATATTAATAGAAGAATTCTAATGATTTTACTTAATAACCATAACAACCCTACTTCCTGATTAACTAAAATTATTCGAGATTTGAGGAACCTATCTCTAATTATCATCGCACCTAATCATATATTTTAATCACGTGCCCTAACTGCGTATTATAATCGTACTTTTCAGGCCAGTTGAACCTACCTTTCATTGATCCTGGCCGCTTTCTTTCTCGATCTCGAATCAGAGAACAAAGAAGGAGATAATTACTCCTTCTTTTACTAATTACCGGCAAAAGAGCGTGAAATATTTACGCTCATTTAGTAACGATCGTTCGATTTCACGATCGTTCGTTAAATATTGAATATAACTCTATTTTAACTGAAATAAAGCCAAATTACTACAAATTTCTATTACAAATTATATTTTATAATAAAATATAAAATTAATGTGTGTATTTATCATATTACAAATTATTTAATTAATTAATTATTTGGCTTTATATTAAGTTAAAGTAAAGTTTAAAAACAATATATACAAACAAATTCTACGATGGATGAGCTATGAGCAATTAAAAGATAAGTGCGTATTATAAGTATAAATTAGCATTAAAAATTGATAAAATTGATAATTGTTAATGGGTGTCCTTTATTTAATAAATTAGACAAAATCTTTACAAAAAAATCTTTTCTTAATCTCTTCTTTTTTTAATTAATATTTCAATATATTTTCGCAATAGATGCAAAGCATAAGTTCTTTCGAACTTATTAAAATTATTTAATTTAATTTAATTATTTAATTTAATTTATTTAATTTGATCCATCCTAGCTCATCCATTTTAAGGCAACGGATTTATCTACAATCTACAATCTACATCTACATCTACAATCTCTATGAATCCGTTACCTTAAAGTTAAATAAAAGTTTTTTTCACTCACCGGCACTGATGCGCAACAGCGGAGATGTTGTTATCGAAGCTAGTTATCTGTAACATACAAATATAAAATTTATTTATAATAATGCTCACAAAATGCAATTAATATTTAAAAAAATTTTTATCACGTGGAATTTTATATCCGATGTGTAAAACAATAAGCAGATAAACACGTATGGAAAAATTTTATAAATTTTTGAAACTGTTTTTTAAATAGAAAATTCTATATGACTTTTATAAAAATTTTTCTCTTTAATTCATTTAAATAATAAGATCGAATTATTGTTCGTTTATAACAAGTTAACGAGAAGATAACAATTAATATATAAATAATAGATATTCACCATCAGGTTGCTCCGCCGATGTAAGATGCCTTTCCCAGGTCTCCTCCCTCTCTCATGTTGTTGGCGCGCGATACTTTTAACGACACTCCCGCACTCGCGATATTTTTATATCGCTATTTCCGCGCGATATTGAATGGCATTCCCGCATTATTTCGGTACGATAAAAATGAAGTTCACCAACTCTTTTTCGCGCATAATTATCTTATCTCGTATCGAACCTGGACTCGCTAAGCACGATTTTAGGTGCTTCGCCCGGAACACGAAGTTTCTCGCGATTGTAGGATATGGCTACACCAGGCTGGTAGACGGCAAAAGAAGAGGATACCCACATTTTTTAAATGCTAACATTCAGCAATTTAGAAAATGGGGAGGCAACCCCTTTTATCGAGCAAAAATCGTGCTTAGGGGAATCCACTCGACTCCTCGACAGGGTTAACACACGTAGTGCGTGTGGCTGTAGACGAGCAAAGAGAAGGAACCCATTGACGACCATTCCGAGCAATCGATCCAATTCTAACTAATTCGGAGATTTATCCTAAATTAAAAAATTTTAAATAAACTTCAAGGCACCATCCAAGTACTGAGCCACCCCACCGCGTCAAGGTGTACCCATACAGAGGTGGATTATATACATTTATAATATAATGTATAATTTGTGAGGAATTTATTTTATAATTAAAAAATTATCTATATATAACATCTTTCTTTTTTTTCGATTAAAAAGAGAAAGATGCAGATATGCTTCTAAAAAAACAAGCTTCAAATCCCGATTAATTTGCCTTTTAATTAAAAAATAAATTATAAAATATATATAATAATTATAGAATATATATTATAAAATTATTTATTTATAGAACATATATAGAATATATATATATATATATATATATATATATATATATATATATATATATATAGAAACGATCGCGAGACATTTTGCACGGCACTCCCGATCGGGGAATAAATACGAGAAATCCATTTTAATATATCGTATAAGGGATAGAGAAGTATGATTCGCTCGACGTTTTTATGATATCAAATTAAATACTAATTCATTACAAATGTTGTTTTCATTATTGAAATATATACGCAGTACATGTATATTAATATGAATTATAGAATCGAAAGTTTAATATAATTGAAAGTCATGATATAATAATCGTTTAATGAATAATTAATTTAAGAATATACAACGTATTTCGCACTACGATCTTTACTGCTCGAGTGTCGCCGTGTGAATAATACCAACACCGTATGACTAGCGCGCTATTGTTTACATCGTCAAGGCCGAACATCGTGTTATTGTCCGTTCGTCATATCGAAGTATATTGTATTATATTTTATTGTATTATATTATATTATATTTTAAATTATAATATAATAGAATATAAATATGTTAAAGTACGTAAAATATTCCGATGACGAACAGACAATACCGACCTTGACATAAACGATACATATTTATATTATATCATATTATATTATATTATATATTTTATATTATATTATTTTACATATTTTAATACAGCAAATAATTTTTCGATGTTGATCGCGATCGCGTCTAGAAAAGTAATAGATTAGTATTAGTAATAAATTATTATTAATTAAATTATTTATATTTTTATTTAGATTATTTATATTATCAAAGGGACATATATGTTACCCTCTGAAAACATTCGTGGACATTGGTTTTGTAGTTTTTTAATGTCCACAATATAAATATCGCTTCCAGGGATCTTTTAAAAGTGGTCCATGACATCTCTCAGTCTTCTCTCTGTCATTACATTGCAATAATTTATATTTATAACATTCATGTGTTACCGACATTCATGCACGTGGCACGGAACACAACCAAAATTGTGTCTATTATGAATTACCCACTGAAAACATTCGTGGATTAATGACTTTATGTTCATGTTTTTTGTTCACAGAGGGCGTATCTTTCGGGGATCATCTGGATCATCTAGAGACCCTAGGATCTCTAGAATCATCTAAAAGCAGGCCATGACTCTCATTCTTTTCTTTAGTTGAACGAAGAGCGAAGAATAAGAAAGTGCCGTAGGAGGGAAAGGAGCGGCAAGCGAATCGAGTCGCACAGCTGGCCGCTATATGGTTTGTCTGCGCGCGCATCCTTCAATGGCGATCGCGAGTCGTGTGGATCCGTCGTGTGCACTGCTGCTGGTCCTACGACTACCTCGGCGGATAATCGTCGATCTGAGAAACCGGGTGCACGATCCTCGAGCGCGACGACAAGGGTCGAGCTCGACTTTCGTCTAAAGCGTACAGCACAGCCGGCAAGACGAAGCTCAAAATGCCACTGGTGAGTCCTCCGTCCTCTGCTCCTTCTCGCTCGGAAGCTTCCCGTATCCTGGCTGTCAAATCCTCCGAAAACGCTTTTTCTTTCAACATTCGTCTGCTCCTGACGATTCGTTCCTCACAAATTTTTCCGTTGTCCGCCGATTCGATCCTTAATCGACGAGCGAGAACGCGACTGTTTATCTTCGCGATTTTCCAGACCAGACCTGGGTGCGGTTTTGTGGTTAGCTCCAAGAAAAATAAAAGGAAATATGAGATAATTCGAACGAGAAATTAAAGTTCCAAGTGTTATCATTAAGTTGTATTTCGTGCGCAACAAGATTAAAGAGTTTGTCAGGAGTACAGTTTAAATGGGTCAATAATGTCAGAAAAGTATGTCAATGTATGCGAGCTGATGTTAATGTCAAATAATGACTATTCTTAATATTAGCAATGTACATACAATGTTGTATGCATATATTAGTTGGTAGAAGCTAATGTATGAAAAGATATGAAGCATATGTCATGATGTCTGTGAAAAAATGGGGATAAGTTAAAGCAATAAAATCTTTAAATGAAAAGATTTGAAGATGAATTGTATGATACATCAATATTACGTTTTATTTTATAGAGTACAAGTTCGAAGAAGTCATTATGTGTACTGCCTGAAGATGTTGTTCACGAGAAAAAAGTACGTTAGTGTACAAAAGAATTTAATATTAACGTTATTATCAAAATCAAAAATGATATGCAGTATCAATATTTATTATTTGTTATTAGTTAATATGGATAAAAATTTATTATATATATATATATATATATATATATATTTATATATACATATATTATATATGCGTGAAAAATCAAGTAGTAGATTAAATAGATAAATAGTAAAACAGATTTAATCATATATTTCTAATATGAGATCAAAATATACATGGTTGTATCATTTTTTCAGAGCAACCATGCTGCCCTCACGCCATTGGAAGACATGTCTGCAGGACGAGGGCAGGCAGGTGGAGGGCCTCCTCAGAATTGTCAGAAGGTTTTTATACAGCGTGACTACAGCGAAGGAACGATGGTTAAATTTCAAACCCGATTTCCGACAGAACTGGAAAGTAGAGTGAGTATTTGAGATGACTCAAGTATTTTGATCTCTATAATCTCTAAAAATCGTGGTTAATGCGAAACTTTCTTCGAAAATCAGAAAAGAGATGATTGAGAAATACTTATTACATATCTCTCGATTTAGCTGGACAGACAGTTGTTCGAGTACACAATCAATCAGTTGAACAACTATTTCGCGGAAGCGGAGCGTGCCAGCTGTTCCACCTACTGTGAGAGCTGCCTATATTGTCTCACGGGATATCTTATAAGCATATGTACCGAGACGCATTATGAGAAATGTCTGCGCAAAGTCGCTAAATTCGTCAGCGAGCAAAATGATCGGGTGTACAAGCCGCGTGGCCTCCTGCTGACAGATCCAACGACCCGCGGACTTAGGCTAATAGAGATCTCGGTATTGGATAGACCTGCGTCGTGACTGCATATTAGCCGATCCAGGGAGTTCTTCATGTGACCCCCCGCGCAGCACTCTGGACATTATCTTGTCAGAATCACGGACATGCACGCGCTCGTGAGTGCCTGTCGGCACGACTACGGGGCATACCGGTTGGTTTGAGCCGGTTACGAAATGTGCAGGAATCCTGCGAAACTGGAAGGAATCAACGGTGGTATCTTGCAAGCCGCAGGTCGCCTCAGGTGCATCTTGCACGATTTATCTTGCCGAATATACGCGCAATGAGCTGAAACTCTCTTGCTATCGGGTCGAACTTAGTCGTACTTAGTCCTAAAAATATCGTAAATAACGATAAAATACGTGCGCGAAAATCCACACAAAAAAGAGATATTGCAGGAGCGAATCTAATTTGTGGAGATTTTATTGTTGTTGTAGATTTACCTGTCAATCTAATTAGAATAACAAGCTTACACAAAGTTGGCCTAATTGCAACGAGAGAGTCTCGTGTTCATTGGCGTTCGTGGTGTCTCGATCCTAAATGGCAGCTTCTTCTCTAGGGAGAGAGAAAGTATGCATCGAAGCGCGTGGATGTGTAACGAAACCGTGGCACTTCTATAAGTTCAATTTTCTATCTGCGTACAGAACATGTAACATACGAAAGTATATATGAAGTATATATGGCAAATCAAAGGTTGCGGAGAAGGAGAAAGTAATCTTGTTGTTTGCACTCGTATACGTGAGTAAACAACTAAATTATTTATCGCGAGCCGCAACATTCGTCATATATACAATGGGGTCTACATATTTTTTTACTGTTCATTTATGACTTTATCGTATCATCTGCATTTAATTAACAAGACATGAATGAAATGCGTGTTTGCGTGAATTATTTTTAACGAAAAGATGGCATTCGAGTTCTACAGTGCGTATGTTTTGTTCAGAGAGATTCCACCGAAAAACCTAGCCGAAAACTTCAATGAATTCCGTTCTCGATGAACGCTCAAACAAATGATTCCAAATTCTTCTCATCTTCCGCGATGTATCTTCCATTGCGCTTATGTATTCGCGTGCAAAAAAAAACATAAGTCATTTCGCATACTTACGTATATATATCGGTTGTGGTGTTTCGGCGCGAATGGATGTCTCTCGATGACAAAAGAAAATAGAATTCGATCGAAATTATTGACACAAGCACTCATTGCGCTATAGGAAAACCCGAGGATTGGCTAAAGAGAAAAAAGAAAAAATGCATAAACGTGGTGATGCAAAAAATAGATTATGAATTCAAGTTGATTGGCATTGTGATCAAGGATAAGCCGAAACCATTTGCGATGCAGCACGAGATATTTCGTCACTTTAGCCCGCTCTCTTAGTGAAAACTAAAGCCCGTTGGCTATCGTTGCCGATCTCCGTTTGCGCGTCCTCGAGATTCGTTCGCGATATACTGAATGTTTTCTCTACTCTATTAATTAGTTGTAAATGATGATCTCAAACGATACAACGACGCAACACCATGTCCACATTTATTTTCTTTTACTCGCACTTTGGGAGCCTAAAGTGTCACAACAAATGTTGTCAGGAAAAACACATATTTTTCTTTAACACAGCATTACACTTGATCAAGCATTGGCATAGATCGCGAACGTCGAACCAAGTTTAGATTGCGATTTATGATATACTTATTGCGGTATCGCATACAAATGGCGAACGATCTCTCTCGTTCTTGGTCACAATGCGTGCGGAGCGCCCGTTTAACGTTGTAATGCGACGTATTGCTAAAAGAATCTTGCCAAATCAGCGTGTCACTGCCTTGGGGTACGATTTCCTAGCATGGACGAGTGTGTAGAAGAAGAAATCTCGTACGAGCTAGAGAACATCGAAGAAAAAGAGAAAGAGAGAGAGAGAGAGAGATGACTGAAGGAGACCCGCCGATTTTTCCAAATGAAAGAAACATGATTTTTGAAACAGAAAGCGGTATTATGGAAAGATTTTCTTTTTATTGCCTAATTCTTTTACACGTCGCAATATGACGTACACGGTGCTCTGACTATATGCAACATGCGTATGTTGCATATAATGTATATATAGCGGATTAATCATCGACACACGAAAAAGAAAAGGAAGCAAATCGTTGTTTATACTTAATTTAATTTAGTAGGACCAATATTGGATTGATGATCCGTAAAATGTAAAGGACACCATCGTGTTACGAGTGTAATTTCTAAATGTTTTAATAATTAAAACGGCATAAGAGCTCATACATATCTTGCTTTAAGGCTGTCTTTAATTCCCCGCCGATAGTTTGGCTTGTAGCATTATTGGAGATATATAATAGCACCTAAATATGATGTAAAGCATATTATTTAGTCTATATAACATATGTATAACATATGCATAATTACAAATTGCAGGATGTAATTATGCATATAGATTATATATCTATATATTATACATATAATGAAATAAATATGAAAGCTATATTATATATACTCCTGGACAAAATTAACGCATAATTTTTTTTCACTTTTTATTTAAAATTTTTCGTTAAAATTTAAATTCAATCAGCTTTTAAAGAAAAAGTGAAAAAAAATTGTGTTAATTTTGTTTAGGAATATATATATATATATATATATATATATATATATATAATATAGCTTTTATATTTATTTCATTATATGTATGATTCATATTTATATGATTATTATATAGATTATTTATATAGATATATAAACATAGTCTGTGATATATTTAAAAAACCCGCTCATAATATTTGAAAAATTAATCATGCGCTACGCCCTCTTTAGTATCTTGGAGGAAGTAGGTGAAATCACTTCGATACTTTGAAAATCGCAAGCAGTACTTCTCGACTATCTTCAAATCGTAGTCAGTCACGGAACGCGTCACGGCGGATCGTAACAAATTTGTACATTTCCCGCGATCGTTATCGTTATAAAAGTGAATCTCGCGCGCGAAGAATTTATTATCGGAAGTGTCTCGTAAAGTGTTTTTGTAATTTGAATATTATTCGCGATCGTTATTATACGTATTGCGATCTCGGTAACCACGATCCGCTTCGATGTTACGTATCGTTTCATCGCCATGTTTTCCCGCCAAACTGGAGTCTGCAAGCTTGGATCTCATTAAATAAGGTATCATTATATTAAACTGCAACGATTATGTTTTTTTCTAATGATTCATTATTTCGTCTAATTCGTTATTGATTTGCTTGAAGTATTTTGATTTGTCTCGATTTTCCGAGAATTGCAATATCGAATCTTTGAATAACAGTTAATACCATGATATGCGTCTTTAATTCGCTTCATACTTTTCTCGCGATTTCGAAGGGAATTTCTACGCACAAAAGATTAACGCGAATGTTTCTTGTAAAGTGTCTCTGATGTGTCGTGTGTTAAACGCCGTCGTTGTTTATCGTTGTTATCTGGTATCGTGATTTCAGCATCGGAATCCTCTTCTGCGTGCCATCCTAGAGTGGAGTTCGTCGAGCTCGAAATCATCGTCAAATCACTTTCTTGTCCTTTCCATCTTCCTCGAAGTACATGTGTAGTGAAAGCGCAATGAATACACCAGGTATGTATCATCATCAGGTATGTGTTATATTTCTATATCTCGTCATTTATAATATTAGCATTTTGAAACCGTGAGTAGAAACTGTGAAAAACCTAGTGTCCCTCAAGTTTATACGAAATCAAATTTAAGTTCGATGATTGGTGATATTAAAGCTTTTCTCCCTGAAAGAAAATAGAAAGGGTATTTGATGGGAAGCTCTACGGGATTTTTAATATTTTATCTTTGATACTTTTTAGACTAACTAAGATCTAAGCTCTTAGGAAGTTAATTGAATTATAATAATGATGGAAAAAATTAACAATTAATTTTTCATATTTTTTTTTAGTTAAACGACATTTCCTTCAGATAGTAATATTTAATTTTTTTATTAAAATAATGACAATGGAAACAAATTATTATTCCTAAGATGAATTTTTCTTAACAATATTTTTTCGGATTTTGTAATATTAAATTTTTTGTATTAAAATAATGCGAATATTGTATAATATTCAGCTTAAAACAAGATTTAAATATTAATAGCGTATTTATAAGAATCGTATTCGTAAGAATCATATTTTACTTTGATTCTCAAGGGGTTTTTAAAATAATTCGGCACATTCGCGCGGCTGTTTGAGCACATCCAGATTTTATTTGACCATGTGCAACAATTTCTGATAGGCATATTGATTCGCAGCTATATCAAAAGACTAGAAACCAGTCTCACTCTCGTGTCGCTTAACTTTCAGACTCGTATCCGAAAACGCAATGCGCTTGAGAAATTCCGTAAGAACTGATTTCGTACGCGCATATTTTCCATCCGAGATATCTGTCATTTAATTTAATCGATGCGATAATTCGAATGAAAGAGGAAGAAAAAATGTTATCTCCGCGCATTGAAATTGTCCCGGATTCGTCCTTCGATCAGGACACGCGTAATGATGCGGAATAACGGAAATGCAAAATGAGCGAACGTAATAGTCGCGTTCTGTCGTGATCTCCCGAAAGGTCAATGTACAAAACTCGAGCTGGAAATAATCGCGGTGGACTCGCGTTCATGCTTGCGTCACGGATTACGTACGGTTTGCATTCGTGCACGATTTAATCCTATCATTGCCTCCGTTTACGAGCGCTGATTAACCGCGATACCAAAGTGCCGCCGCTCGCTATGCACCTATATATGACTCGTTATGTACATATATATGACGAGAGAGTTAATGATGAATATGCGATCGTGTTCGCAAATATATATATATGCAAATTAGCTATACAAGTTCTATAAAAGAAAAGAAAATTTTTTATTTCCTCACATACGAAATTGAAGATTGCGCGTGATTGTATGTATGCTTTATCCTTTTTTTTAAAATATATTCTTTATATATTTTTATAAAATTTAAAATCGTTGAAATTTTTGCGCTTAGAGTTAAAATTCTTTATCTACACGATTTTAAAACATTTTAATTCTACTTACTTCAGATTTCGTTTTTACAAAATTGTAAATGCGAAACTCTTCGCTACTTACAGAATTTAAAATATTTTAGATGCATTTACTCGAGATTTTCTATTTACAAAATTTAAAATATTTTGAATTTATTTACTCGAAACTCTGCTAAAAAAATTTAAGAACACGGATTTGATTAAAATTAAGAAATCAATTTGAGCAATTTTTTTTTATCTTAACCATATCAATTTAATTCTCATCTTTATTATCGCGGAGATCGCTTTGCGAGGGGAGAGCTAAAATAACAAAAGCAGTTAAAAATTGCACTCGTTTCTAATTTAAATTGCATATCATGGAGCAGCGTGTCCGCGAGTCCGACTTAGCACATTCTCGATCTGCAAAACATCACGTCATCGATCCCTTTGTCCGCCGAACAATACATATAGCCTAGAATATCATCGAGATGTCATACAAAAAGATTGTCAAAATTGAATTCTTCATCATCATCATCATCATCGTTATCATCTGACGACGCCCAACGTAGTCACATGCACACATGTAGCACACTTCCTCGCGCTCTACGGGATTGCGATTATGAGCAATGTCGTTGTGAGGTGCAACGACCGACCGTCAAGTTCTCTAGTTACCTAGCCATCGACTAAATGTACACGTTTACGTAATACAGTGTCTATGTATTATCGCCTTAAGTTCTACGAACAACAGTCTTCTCAGGATCCGATTTTTTTCGTGAGACATCACCTCGAATATTCTTCCCTTCTCTCTTTTCTTTTTCTTTTTTTTTTATTTTCTTTTTTGCTTAGGTTCAGTTCGTCGATTTTGTACCGCGAAAGTTCGTCACGTTATTACTGCGGATTTTGATTCGTCCGACAATGGCATAAAGAGTAGTCAGAGTCAATATAAGACATCTTTGTGTATTTCCTTCCTCGATAATTATGTTAATATATATGTTTGTTTCTTTTCTTGTTATATATTCTTGTTTCACGTATTATAAATTTCGCATTAATATAATGTCAAGTTTTTCTTTGAATACCTTAATTTGAATTTGTGTTCAATTCTATTAAATAATATCAAGATATTTAATTTTTTTTATATTCATACATATTATGAAGCGAGTATAAAATCATGAATGAAAAATTAAGATTAATTCTTTTTAATAAAAATTTAAATTTTCTTTCGTTTTAACTAATCTTTTGAGATATTTTTTAGTTTGTAATTTTTTTTGACAATATTTCATCAGTATTCCCACAATTTTTCTAAATTTAATTAAACTCGTTTTTTGTGTGTTTAATTTTTAAATTGTGACATTTATTATAATCATTATTTCTCCTCACTGTTGTTTTTTTTCCTATTTCTTTTTTATTTTGATTAATTTTAAATCTTACCAATCATTTTGAATTTTAAATAGTAGCCGTGATATGACAATTTCTACAAATATCAATGTTCTTTTTTTCCTCAGAGTTTTCGGAAAGGATTCATTTCCTATAAATATTTCGCTATTGCAACAGTAGCTAAAATATTTTTAAATAACTTTTCCGGCATTAGTTATTCATGAGAGTAATTTCGAGAGTAATTCGATGACTTCATTAGACCAAATAATGTTATTTTCTTAAGAGCAATTTTTTAGAAATTCATCCTAAAGCTCTTTTTTTAATGACAGTCATGGGTTCATCCATCAAAATGTGTTTAGCTTCCAGACAATCGCATCGGCAAATTTTATTTTCCACGATCTCTAGAAACCGCAATGCGCATTGAAATATTTGTTTATTTCCAAATATAATCATCGCTTATTAATATGACATCATTCGGGAATGCTCTCGAGCGTTGTTGAAGTTAGCCGTCAAATAAGCAGGCACAGTTTGTTCCGATTCTTTCTTTCCGGGAGCAACGCTTTCGATTTGCCGGCGTCCTCCGAACTGCTTCTAGCGTAGAGAGACCTGCTGATACGATGTCGGACTCCTTTGCTTAACGTACGTCCACCCTTCCTCAATGAAGCGAATCTACCGAGTGTCGACTTCTCCGGTACTTGTTCCTTCTTGTCAGCGTGAGCACAATTCAGCGTTGTAACCGTGAATTCGATATCTCGAGGTTCATAAGAGACGAATTCTTCTACCGGTTCCTCGATTGTGTCGCGATCGATCCACGTCAGTCCCATCTCGACTTTTTCCGCCAAGTCCTGCCAATGTTTTCGATTCTCCATGGTACCCTCGTAGAGTGGCAGTATCCATGGGAATGTCTCCGACATGACTTTGTAGAGCGGCAGGCAAATGACGTCGATGAAACCGACCTGCATCTGTGGTAATTCGTCCCGTCTCTCGCGATCCATCATCGCCACCGGCTGTTGGTTGAGCTGTAGACGCTCTAGATCGCCTTGATCGAAAAACTCATCGGCTACCAGCTTTGCCACGCGATGCTGCACATCCCAAGGCTTTGCTATCGCGCTCACGTCGCACGCTGTCATCATCATACCACATAGCACTGCGAAAGAACAATCAAGATTAATTAATTAGTCATATTTGAGATAAAGAAAAAATTAGGGAATAAATCAAATATGAAATAGAACATCAAAGAATCTTACGTTCTTTTTTCTCTTCGCTCTGCCAATCGAATTCACCTTCGTCGATCACCTCCATGAAACGATTCCTCTTTTTGAAGTACATCGCTAGATCGGTCGACAGGATAGCGCTTTCCACGACCTTCATCACGCGTCTATAATCCTCCATCGATAGACTTTGAAAAATATTGTTGCTGTCGGAATTTAATATCATGACACACTGATCGAAGTGATGGTGTTCCATCGTGCTGGTCGAGTACAGAATCGCCAATGGAGATTCCGTTTTCGTTTGGAATGCGTTGTTGGTGCCGCGATGGTCCAGGTCGTGACAGAGACAGGCGACCAGAAGACCGAGAATTTCCAGATCGGTCATGAATTGCTCCATTTTACCGGTCTTCAGCATCGCGAACATCGTCTGCGCGACATTTAACGCGTGCCTCCAATTATGATACTTCACTGGCCTGTCGAAAATAATTTCTACTTTCATAATCTTATTTGAAATGATGTTATTATGTACTTTAGTATCTTTAAAAATGTTATTTTAAACGATAAAACTGAATTTAGCATAATGAATGTAATTAAAAAAATCTGCAAGGTGTAAAATGAGATGGAAATATATATATTTACCTATAATTTTTCTTTACACTGAGTATCCATCTGCACAGGATGTCGTAAGGTATATGAAACTTCTGTATGAGATCGCACTGTTTGAACATCCTAATGGTAGCGCGACACGTATCTTCGTCGGTGAGATCGAAATCAATGAACGTGAAACTGTAAAGATTATATGTTTCCGCGGAGGGGATGGTGTCGGAGACGAGTCGCAGAGCATCTTCGTTGTTGGCGGTCGCGTGATAACTCAAACATTCGAGAGCCACCTTTTGCTTCGCCATCAGCTTGCATGCGGACTCGTACATTTGCGTATTGTGAATGCCGAGGCCGCAGAAGATGGCGAATGCCTCGAATATCGACACATCCGAGTCGGTGAAAGACGTACCGTTATCCTGCAAGGAATTTTTTTCACCGTTAACAATTAATCATTCGCAATGATTTTTTTATTGTAAAGAAGATAGCTTTATCTTCTTATACATATATGATATATTTATATGACATTCTTTAATGTATATTTTTTTATCTCTTTGGCAGTATTGGTATTAAAAACATGAATAATCTAATTATATTTTAAATTATATTTTTTTTTAATTTTATATAATTTTAATTTTATATAATTTTAATTTTATATAATTTTAATTTTATATAATTTTAATTGCATGTCTCTCTCTCTCTCTTTCGAAATATGCGAAAACATACGTGCATAAATTATCATTGTTTGATACTTAGCGATTTGCATATTTAAGCAACATATTTACAAAAAACCAATAACATAATAATCGCGTACATGTTATATGCAGCGTGCATATTATATTAAGGATTATTAAAGATTAAATGCAAAGTATCTATGATGCGAATTATCAACAATAGATTATAATAGATTATTCACGATTATTCTGGAGTATTATAATATTAGAAATTGAAAAGGAGATTAGTTCAAACCTTGTTGATCAATTGAGCAACTCCGATGACAATCCTCTGTCCGTTAACAATCGGCATGCACAGGATACTCCTGATAGGTTTTCTTCTGCTCTCCATTACGTCTTTCTTCAACCACGTGGCGACGTCACCAATATTGAGAATTTGACCTGTAGCGGCGACGTATCTCGCGATTTGTCCCAAAGGACTCGATAGGTCGTTGTTGCTTGGCCGATAGATCCGAGCCTCCTGCGTTTCGTTTTCCATCTCGAAGACCATAGTGAATTTTGTATCTTCGGTCAATGTCTGAGGAAAACGAAGATAATATAAAAAAAATGATCGAGCAACATATTTCAATCGTTAACTTCATTTTTATATCTCTTTAATGCTGTTTTTTCAAGTAACATTATTCTCAAATTACTTGATATGAATATTTTCTAGACTTAATAATTTTAATTAATTGAAATTTATTTTCTGCTGTTAGGAAAATTCAATTCTCAAATAAATTTGATTAACGTGACGCAAATAAATCGAAGGAACGATGAAATATCGGTTTACTTCATCGGAGAGTGCTGAAAAACAATTGCACATTTTGATTTATATTTGATTTATATTTATATTTGTAAAATCGATCGGATCACTTACGTGCTGTTGAAAAATGTCCTCCATGTCGATATTGTTGCTCTGAGCCGCCAGGAAAGAGAAAAAGATCATCAGACTTACGAATTCGAGTAACACGTGACGGTGCCACTCACCTCTCTTCTCGACAACGGCTTTCTGCTCTCTTGCACCGATTTCCCGGGCCGCTCGACGATTTTCTCGAGATGCCCCTAAAATATGAGACTTTGCATCTCTTATTGTGCTTTTAATAGCCACGCGAGCCACGCGTTTGGTTAATCGAATATTCAGCTAATTGAACGCGTCTGTCTGTTTTCGATACACGTAGTTAATTTCGTTCTCTAGATTTTCCATGGTGACTTATCATGGAATTTCAAATTTCAATTCAACAATGACGTATATTCCACAAGGATTTAAAATCTCTCTTATACTGAGAAAAAAATCTGGTTGCATTAATTAAAAATCTGATAGATTCAACCAGTATGTCTGTTGGAAAATGGACGAATCAGAATTCTTTTAGAAATTATCAAATGAGTATGATTAATTTCTTCCTGTTAAATTTACCAAATTTTTTTGGTAATAAACTTACAACAAAAATGGCATCACATGTGTATCCATGATGTCCGTGTTTAGTTAATATAACAAGAAGTTTTATAATTCCAACTAGAAAATACTAACCAAATTCTTGTAGTAAAATCTAAACGTTTTAGTTATAAGAAATTGAGTCTTATTATGATAACTAGAAATTCTGCTTGGTTTAACCAAAATGCTTTCTATCAGATACAGATCTTGTTGGTCCAATCAAACGATTTTTCTCAGTGTACTAATGGAAAACACACTTACTGCTTCACCGCAATCCAAATCGAGCAAATAAACAGCACATCTCTCACATTTGAGGAGCTCCTTCGCTTCGGTCATGATCTTTGTAACGAGACACTCAAGATTGTTCTGCTCCTCGAATATGTTTCTCGCCAGATTGAGGAGGATTTGATTGCGCCGGTATTCTTGCACGGACAGCTCGAACAATTGCGCGTTTTGTATGCCGATACCGCAGAACGTGAGGTATCTATGACAATCGATACGTTAGATAAAATTAGATGCGCGATTGTATTAATAAACGTATCGATCGCGCGCGGCGCCGATTATAATTGCGTACTAGGCAATTACAACATAGTCTTGTAACTGGCCTTGCATCATTATGTAACAAGTTAATGCTTTCGCTCTAAACGAGTCTGCTTAAGCATCCGATATACTTATTATTACAAGTACGATTACATATTTTCTTCACATATTTTCTACAGTAAATTTCGCCTCTCTTATACTTACCTTTGAAACACCTCGACATCTCTGTCAGTAAATTCGTTGTTGCCGTTTGTCTTATTGATGATTTGAGCGACTCCGATGACATCGCCTTCATAATTGCAGATCGGCATCGATAGGATCAACGTCGTTTTATATCCGGTGCGCATGTCGATGGCGCTGTTGAATCTCGGATCCTGATAAATGTCAACAGAATAATCCATTTTAATCTCAACAACATCGAAGGCGTAAGACTCATCGTCGATTAATTGGCCGTTAAACGGAATTATTCAGAGAATTAATTGCGATTATTTTTTATCGCTTGTAATAATTTTAACGTCGTAAGATTAAATCAAAAGGCTTCAGTGGCTCGGGGCGAATCGATAAAACCGGAGGGCACGTATAAGATGTAAGAAACCTTATAAGCATCCTTGATGTTGATAATCTCTTTGGTTTGCGCCACGTAACCGGCGATACCGACTCCGAACGGTATTTTGATCTCCTCGTTCTTCGCCCGTTGAACGGCTTCCTCGAGCTCGGTGTCTTGCCTGACATCAAACAATTTTGCCACGAGATACCGATCTTCCAGAGGTCCCTTCGCTAGAAATAGACTGCCGCGATCGGCATGAGTAAGTAGGCCGACATTCACCAAGATCTTATGGCATAGGATGTTTATATCCAGCTCGTTTGCAACATCTCTTATCAACTCCATGAACAGATCGCTCTCGTCAAGCTTGCCAAGTTCCTCGCGACGACCCATCAGCGAGCTATGAGTCCTAGAAGAGATGATAGTACATGATTCTAATTGCAAAACGACGCCATAGAGAAAATTTTAAAAATTTTAAATGAAATAATGGGCATTATTTAGTATTACAAAATTCAAAAAAATTTTGTAATACTAAACAACGCCCATTATTTCATTTAAATATGTATGAAAAAAATGTAGGCAATATATAACAATTTATTTTAATATAATACGATTTAATTGTGTAATATGAAGGTATGATACTACGATACGTTATTTCGTTATTATTACACGGGTTACCTATTGGGGCTCCTGCTGCGCTTCGCAGGTGAGCTCGAGGCCAACCATGTTTGAAAGAGATCGGATGTAACGCTGTTGCGTTTCCCACGATTGAGAAGACTTTCCTCTTGTTGTACTCGCGGGACCCTTGGTGTTATCGTTTGCATGCTATTGTTTGCACACGTATTCTGCAATCGTTGCCGAAGTTGGACGCTCGCTTTCTCCCGCAGCCACGTTTCGGCTAGAGCGGGATTCGCCTCCAGATATCTTTGTCATTCAAAAATTTGATTATATAATGCACGCGAAAACTTATATGTGCAAATTTCCATACGTAAAACTTTATTAATGTCAAGTTCAATGAATCTTTTTATTTTATTTTTTTAAATATAACATTAATGATAATAAATATGTCTGCATAAATAATTAAAAAAATAAAATAATTTGAAATAATTCATTAAATCTAATATATGGACAACGTTTAAATGTGTTTTTAATGTTAAATTTTTTTTAGAAAGCTTTAAAAATAATTAATTTAATAATATTGTCGTTTGTTGGGAGGGGGGGGACTAAAGAAGTTAATATGAATTAATTACCTTCCAACTCTATCCATAGTGAGGTTGTCATCCTCATCGTACTCGTGTATAGTATCCTGACAGCTGACTTTCTTACTTTTGCACAGCTTAGCGATCTCAACCTCTTTCATGTCAGTCTTTGTACTTGTACTTAGAGATATTTTTGATTTTGGTCGCGCAGACATTCTTAATTTTCCGGGACTATCATCGATGGAATCGATGTTTTCCAATTGCTCAGGATTGGAGGAGCGCACTAAAGGACAGTCGTTTTTCTCCGGCGTCCTATCGGACACCGGTTTCGTAGAGATCTTCATCGTTTCGAAATTTTCGAGATTGTTGTTATGATTTGCCTACAAAAAATATTATAACAAAATTATCTGTTTATATACTATAATATTTATTTTTTAATCTTATCTTTGATATATAGCTGACGATATAGTTTACGATATAAGAAATAAGAAATATTTAAAAATTGAATTTAATATTGGCTTATGTTGTTACTTTGTGAGCAGAACTCGCGGTTATATTTTTCAAAAATAATTTCAAAGATATTTACATATTAGTTCTTTAATTATTCTTTTTCTTTAATTATTTGGATATTATTATTTAAACATATATAATTTTTAATTTTTTTATATATCAGAGCTCTTTTTTATGAGATTTACATATTTCTTAAAAAAAATAAATATTTTTTGAATTATTTTTCTATAAAATACGTATCTAAAGCAGTACTTCAACATTTCTTTTTATATGTTTTTTTTTTAAATTATTAATATTCGTTAAAATATTCGGACTGCTTCACAAAGTATTCTTGATTTATTTAAATATTATTAAAAATTGTATAATTATGACGACAAAAAAGATTAATGCTACTTGTTTAATTACTTCCGTGTCGGCAGTCTCTGACAATTCATCATCCACTTCGTCTTCCGCTTCCATATCACCTTGAGCTTAATGTTATATGCATCGAGCGTAATAGGAACGTTTAGTTATGTCTGTCGCGAGAGCCGTGCTAAAGTGAAGAAGCTTCACATCTCATCATTTTCCGTCGTTAACTTTGCGGGTCCCGAAAATTCGTATCTGAAAAAAAATTCGCGATTTCTGCGTGACGCGAAATCTCTTTCTTCGATTATATTTCATTATTATATATATTTTATTTTATGAGCTCGTGATGTTTTTTTCTTCCTTTCTTTGTGATTTATCAGCAGACAAAAATAAATCGAATAACGAGAATTAGATTAATTTAAATAAACAATTCGCAATATTACACGCGTCAACAAAGATTCAGCCACATGATTGTCACTGTTATAGCGCAAAGCCGCTATAACGCTTTATTTATAGACGAATGCTCTTTAATTCGTATCGGTTTTTAATATATGAATATGTATACAGAGTGATAGTAAAGTAAAGAATTAAACCTTTCATATTATCGTTTTGCGTTTGATTAACATAATTTACGCTGATGTAATTCGCGATTTCTCGAATTGCTGTAACGACTGTTAGAAAATGTTTGAGGACCTCATGATACGTGAATGTTTAGGATGTCGTTAACAAATTTCAAGGGCCCAAAGGGCGATTACATAAATTTCATATTTCATGTACGACTCGTGTAATTCGCGTACGCTGGGACTCTTTTCCCTCCCTCATTAATTCTTCCCCTCGCGCGTTTTCTTTTTTACTTCGTCCTCTCTCGCGGGGGAGAGCAGGGGGCGGCAGGGGGAGGGGGATCGAAGGCAACGACCCACCGGGGAAATCCACGTCTAATCACTGAATTATGAAATTATGCGATTCAATATTCATGAAGAAGCCGCCCAGCCGCCGCCGTCGTCTGCTATTCTCAACGAGAATAACCGCTTCGCATTAAGTCCCTTGTTAATATGTTTCCTGTCGATGATTATCCTTCCCGCGCGCATCTCTCGCTGTCGTGACTCCGACATTTTACCCGCTAAATTGGAACCGAGACTGCGGATAATTGGAATGTCATGCGTAGATATGTAATATTGCGAATGTATTATTACATTCAAGCACATCGTGCAGTATATCATGATTATTTTTTTTATGAAATGCGTCGCATGTATCATATTACGATAAATAAAGTTATATGTTATCGTTATTTTTATAATTAAAGCACGTACTATCGAACGTGCCTTGAATTTATACTATTATTTTACTGAATTTTTGAAAAACAAAAATATATGTTTTTATATGTGATATATAAACAGGTATTTCTTAAATTATATTTAAAATTATATTTAAATGACGAATAAGGCACGTTTCGTAGCTTATTTGCGTCATAAAGTTGGATCTAATAAAAGCCCTTTACCTCTAGTAACTTATAACTCTCGAAAGCTATTAGTGGATCACATGTTACAATGTATAGCTCATTTATTCGATATGGTATGTTTATACATTTAATATCATTATATTTAAAAGGACCATTTTCTCAAATTAATGTCGCAAAAAATATAAATATACATGCATGTAATATTTTCTAGATATATTACATATTTTCTTGTTATACATTTCATACATTTAAGAATTTGCGAGGAAGAAATCTTTGGTGCGCGAATTTGATTGCTTACTTACACGCTACCAAGAGTAAATACGCCAACTCGATCAGCGCAAACACAGCCACCTGCATTGCTCACCTGCGGTAAATCGTTCGCGAGGATCGTCTTATAAATGCAGCACACCCGCGTGTCTGGCCCGAAATAGCCATCACTCCTGCAAAATGTCACTCGTAGTTTCTCGCACGTGAAAGCTCTCCCTTCACGTACAACCGGGAGTCCTTCGTCGACAATTACGGATCCATCCAAGGGACATTATTTCATCAGACTACAACCACTTTCCCAGAGAAATCCGTCACTATTTATCTTTAAAATAAGCGTCATCGAACGTACGAAAGTACACACGAGTCGCACATTTTATTCATTTTTATTTTTAATTTTTTCTTGATATTAGACATACCCTTGTCACTGCGTCAACATCCTTCTTTGCAAGCGTGTGTCAGAGATGACTGTTTATTACGTCGACTATTTGTTTGTTACGTTTTCCTCGTCGCATCCGTCGCGAACGCAACGTGCTTCCGAAAGCGTTCAATCGCGATCGACCGAACGGAAGCTCGTCGAATGAAAGTGCGACCGCCGTTTAGAGAAATTCGGAGATGCGAAACGTCGCCGCGCGATCACGCAGACGCATACTCGTGACTCGCGTATTTTTTTTCACGTTCAAGTTCGTCGCCGTTCGATATATCCGTCACGGCGTGTTCTCCATCGTCCTTCTATCGCGTCGCTTTTGCCATCGCAAGTTTTCACGCTCGACGACAGACGCAATCGATTTGTGCTTTTCTTACTTCATTGCATTATTTTTCGCATTAATTATAATTTCTTTGCTATATCATTTTGCTCTTTTCAGCGTATTAAACTGATCGACCGATTAGAACCCCTCTATATCATCATCCTCGTCAAAATAGCCATAGGATCGTCGCGATCACGCGTGATCGATGAGCTTTAAACGGGAGGATCTCCGGTCGCTTCCGGGAGCGAGATCATCGCCTCCTCCGCACGCGGCTTCGATCGTCCCCACGTCGTCGGCCTCGCAAATAGAAAAGCCCTTCCCCCGCGCCTTCCCCACGAGTTATTTATCGTAGAATCGCTCCGATCTCTCGCGCGGAACGGAATCAACGCGCGATCATCAGCTCGAAACCGCATCGACCGGTACATCTTCCTCGCGAACTCGTCTTCCTCATCCTTCTCCTTCTCGCGACAGAACCACTTCTCGCGCAAGAGAGACGAGGCTTCTAGATCTTCGCACTGGTTGGCTGGCAATCGACGTCTAGCGACAAGTCGAGGAGATCTCTTCGATTAGCTCGACGGGGCAAACGACTCACGACATCATCCCCTCGAAGAATCAGCCCGTCTTGTTAATGTCACGATTCAAGATCAGCTCGCAAACACCCTCCGCAACTTGCATCCGCTCGAGACACCACTCGATCTTCATTCTAATTTCAGGAGACTCGTCCCGACACCCCGGGAAGGATTCGACAGAAACCGGGAGTCCGGGACGATCACGCAGCACTAATCGCGTGACGGCTGCGTCTCGCGCCGGGACGCGACACGATGGTCGGCGAGGACGTCGAATGGCGTGCGGACCGATCGAAAGCTCCGAGCTTACTGAAGTCTTCCTCTCGGGTCAGGCGGACGCGGGTAGGTTCGAGGAGGAGAGCGGCGCGGCTGGCTACGCGTTCGAGCCTCCCACGGTTTCTCTTCTCCGCGCGCGTCGTCCGTCGATCGTCTTGGGGTGTACTATCGTCGCATCGAACGCTCATCCGAGTGTTATCCCCGCGATCATACTCCCGTGTACTCCGTACATCTCTCTATTAGGACACGTGACGTTTATCGTGGTGCGAGTGCTACGTACTCGCGAATTATCTCCCTCGTGCATTCGGCACTCTCGGCGAGACGCACACCAACGCTCATCGTCTTCGTGGTAAGGTGGCCACGCTCGATGTGCGCGTGTGCGCGGATGCTCACGGACGCTTATCTCCCGCAGCTGGTGTGGGTGAAGCTGCGCGCGCGCGCGTACATTACGCGTGTATGTACATCTCCGTCGGGTGTATGTGTGTGTGCGCGCACGTGCGGCAGGAATACCGAGGAGACGTCTTCTCTCTCTCGCGCGCGTTCTCAACCCTCCGGGAAAGATCGATAACGGCCGGCGGAGAGCGAGTATCCCGGACAAGCAGGCACGCAGACAGGCAGGCAGGCAGGCAGTCAGGCAGTCAGGCAGTCAGGCAGTCAGGCAGGCAGGCAGGCGAACAGGCCAGACGCAGGCAGCATCCCCTGCCGCCCGCGCGCGACAGATTTTCGGCTTCGGAATTTCGCGAGCGCCGGCCGGCGAGGCTGATGCCGATGATGCCGCGCTCGATCGATCGACCCGCTTCCTTCTCTCGCTTACCCGCGCGCGCTTCGCGGAAGCTAACGAGCGCGGATACCCCGATAATCGAACACCTGTGCCTAATGCGTAAATCGAGAAATTTGCAACGAGTATCGACGTTTATTAATGCGATAGTGGTGGATTTCAACCCTCCGACATTGACGAGGACGAGCCCTCGAATGATATTTTTGTAAAATTCAACTGCAGTTGCCGCAGCCACTCGATATCATCGAGTATTGATATTGGAGTGTCAAAATTAATGAGATACTTCTTTACACACGTGTATGCCCTTTGATATTCGACGTAATCATTGGCCACAGATCCTTTGTAATGGCCTCTTAAATGTTGATTCTTTTTTTTATTAAGCGAGAGGCGATTCTTAGGTTCTCGATCTTGCGTTTACGATGGACATATTGATGAAAATTTCTAATATCGTAAAGAGTATATGAAAAATAAGGAAAATTAGAAAGAAATTCTCAAAATCTATTTTAATAGATATGAATTGACAGTTAAAAGTAAATTACGTAAATTACGAACTTTTAATTAGTTCTGCTATTGTCGACAAAATAAGCAGCATTGGTATGTTCTTTGTACTTGCATCGACTATTGTGTCTTCGTCGCTCTTGGTATCGTATAATCATCCGGTATTACACGTGAAGCCCTTAGCAATGCTAATTGGCAATCGTTTCGCGTTAATATTCCATGTTTCATTATGCAACACACGTATATTGCACAAAAGTAAAATCGAATTATGTCAATGTTTCATATAAGGTGTGTGTCGCACATTTTTCTCTATACATTCTTCAAGATGTAATTGCTGTTTTTACCTTTTTTTCAATTGCAAAAAATAAATTAGAATTATTACCGGATAAAGCATCATAACTTTCAACTTATTAGACACTTTGATAAAAAGCTTTCTAATTAACTTTGTGCCGATGACTTTGCACTAAAAGATCAAAATTATCTTTTGCAATTAAATATTAATTTCTAGTTTTTAAATATTAATACATTTTTTATCTCTTATATACTTTAATCTAGATTTCTCATCAAAATTTATCTGAGGAAATATAATATTTATGCATTGTTCGAAAATTCAAACAATAATTACGAGAAAATGCATGCTTTTCACACTCGGCGTAATCCTTTTTCAAACAATAATGATATGCTAATCGAAAAAATAAATATTCTTTCTTAAAGCGATTTTGCATAAAATGTAATAAAGATTATGCAGTTAACACTGTTTGCATAGTCTGGCTTCTCATCAACATTATTATCATTATTATTATTATCATATTTATTATTATTATTATTATTACCTGTAAATTAAAATTTTTATTCTCGCAAAGAGAGAGAGAGAGAGAGAGAGAGAGAGAGATTTTAAGATAATTAACGAAATATATCTTGCTTCTTTAAAATGAAAATAGATCGAGCCAACGATGTTTTGACGTTACGTTTTACAAGTTTGTTATGACGAGATCTGTATGACGTAATGTCGTCGTCGAAATCCATGTGGTTATGTATATCCATTTATACGGAATGAGAAACTAAATTACGCGTTTCTATGTTTACTTCTATGTTTCCGTTTCTCGAGATATTTTTTGAAACAATGTCGGCGATTGACTGTCTCGATTTAAAGCGCGAGTCGTTGCGCATAACAGACACCCCGAGGTCATCTGTTATAAATCTGTTTTTGTTTTTCCCTTTTTATTATCCACGTAGTTTGTCTGTAATTTGATTTTAATTTGGATTTTAATTTTCTTTGTAATATACGGAATTAATACAACGAGATTGCTCTCCGTCACGTTATGGAAATCAATAGATGACACGAATAAAGGCTCGACAAAGAGTTTCCCTTACAAGAATTTGCAAAATCTAATTATTACTTGTAAAATTATATCAAGATATTTTCTATTACTTTTTATATTAAAATAAAAAGATTGCTTTGTCTTTGTTTCGCGACAACATTATATAATTTAAAAGTCAGATTTAATATAGCGAAAACACTTTGTAATACGACTGCAAGTGCGCACAAGAAGAATAAATGAATAAAAATATAAAAAAACATTCTTTACTTTAGATCTAATGTCGCTTTCATTTTTCAAACGTAGACTTACAATTTTAACTATGTGCTTGTTTATTGACGATTAACTCCTGCGTTATCTGAAAACCTACTTACATACTTATTTTATTTTTTATGTTTTTACGAAGACAAAAGGAGATTTTTTCACTTATCTTATACTTATTTTTCCTTTTTTTGAAAAAAGTGAATTTTAATTTAAGAATAAAGATTTAAGCAAACCAGTTTACGTAAAAACAAACAAAAGAAAATTAAAATTTTAATTAAAATTCGCAATTTTAAAGTAAAAATAATGTTGACGTACAAGATTCGTTATTAAAGATGTAATTGTTTTTTGAAAAATTCACACATTTTATCTAAAAACGCAAGATTTTCCTGGATTACAACAGAATGATGATTCACTCATTTTGAACAAATGAAACATAATACGCATCTTGCGTCCTCTTAACATTTTCTTTGCCTTTTTCTCGATTAATCTAAGATACAGAGGAGAATTTGGTATCCCGAGGATTCCGAGTTCAATTTGGATTTGTGCGTATCGGCCGATCGAGCCTGCGGAGCTGCGTATCATGGCAAAATATATGCGGCATAGCCGACGTAGGTGGACAAAATGTCAGGGACGCCGATATCATGTAGAAACGGAGGGAGAAATGTCTCGTTCCATTGGATGCCCGCCAGGATTATGGTTTCGAAAATGGGATAGAAACGGAGGGAGAGAGAAAGAGAGAGAGAGAGAGAGAGAGAGAGAGAGAGAGAGAGAGAGAGAGAGAGAGGAGAGAGAGAGAGAGAGAGGAGAGAGAGAGAGAGAGAGAGAGAGAGAGAGAGAGAGAGAGAGAGAGAGAGAGAGAGAGAGAGAGAGAGAACAACAGGGCAAAAAAAAACACGAGAAGGACCATCGAGATTTGATGGGCGCTGAATGACTCGTTAGTGATGACGAGGAGAAAAAGTCGGGAGTTGCGCGGGCGGAGGACGGACGGGCATTAAATTTCGCTCAGGGTCGACGACGAGGGCTCTGGCACGCTTTATCGCGGGTTTTACTCCGCGATCTTTCATGCAACGCCGCACCACTAATCTCTGCCACATCACCGAATACAAAGATGGAGAACCGGAATTGGGGCAGCGCGCGAGAGAGGAATGGATGTTTAAAGCTTGAAAAGGCTCCTTCACCGGAGGAAAAGATAATGAAGACATCGTGCGCGAAGGTTAAACGAGCGCGACGCACCTCGCTATAAGCCTTTTCATGACAAGAACGAGAAAATAGTTATTTTAAATTAGCTCTTAATATTTTTTAAGACCTCGAAATAAATAAATACGAATTTTGTATACAAATTATTTATAAGAAATACCTATTTACTACTATATTATTTTATAATTATTAAAAATAAAATATATTGAGAAGATTACACAAGAAAGAAGATCGTCATCTCTTTCATTTATGAGATGATTATATCTCATAATATTTATCTTATCAAGTTGTCTCGATATTGCTCCGAAGTTTTGCGTCACTAGACGAAGACTATCAATGTTTCGCGTGGAGGTGGTCGAAAATCGGATCATCACTATGCTCTTCCATTAAATATAGGTGACGCTTTATCGTTCTTTCAGTTGTTGACATTTCTTCGTCGTTGTTATTTTTTTATCATGATTCTCTTTGCCTACCTTACTACTAACAACACAGCCAAGATACTTTGTACGACGCACTTTGCCTGACGCGTTTTATTTCGTGCGGAATTAGAGTCACCCAGACACGATACACGTATCGATTTTCTATCTATAGGGTATAATTTAACCAGCTTTAATTATTAACTCGCTGGGACATTCGGAGAACCATGCGGGATTTGACTTCTTCAATTAAGGAAGTATGTCTATTATCAACATTGATTGTAAACAGAGTGAAGCGTAAGCTCTCAAACGATAAGTAACAATGAAAGTAATCAATGGAAGAGTAAATATCTATTTTGTAATGAATATTCTCATCATCCTTGAAGAGAAATCTGATGCCACAGCAAAGGTATATCATTATTCACTTTATACAAAATTGAAAAGTATTATGAATTTGGGTAAAGTAAGAATAAAACAAATATGTGACTTGTATGTATAACTTTAAAAAGAAGAGACAAAGAATTGTATTATATTAGTTATTATTTTTTCTCAATTTTTAATACGCAATGAATTATTTTTATATTCATATTTTTTTAATAATAAAATCGCTAATTTATTTTATTATTTTGCAATAGAAATAGACGTCCGTTCTTTCAGAGGGAACGATTACATTGAAAGATTAATGAGATAAATGATTGATAATGCTTCTTATGGCGTATAAATTTTTTGATTATAACTGAACATTGATTAATTTTACGCTATTAATAATTCAACATTGCCAGATTGATGTACAAAGTTCCCAAGGAGGGGACACTTCATTTTTAGAAAGATTCGCGTGCGTACGCACATACACGTTTATGGGATCGTATTTAACTTCCCTCGCGGCGGTGGCGGAGGCAACGATGCGATTAATCCAACACCCTTGCTAATGATGATCGGCGTTGTTCACCGAATAAATCCCTAGGGCGCAAAGTTACGCCCCATTTCGTCTCCTTTCGCGCTTCGTTCCTCATTTAGAAATTCCTCGATGGCACCATCGCTTTGTCCTGTTTACGTTGCTGCTTCCGATTTTCTCGAGGAAAACAACTGGAATTTATCCATGCGTTCGAACTTTCCTATGATCAATATTTACGTTTCTTTATCAGACAGACCGAAAAATCATTAGGCTGTTTGGCGGATAACACGGCTGGGACAAAATTCCACTTTAGATCGGAAATAACATCCAATTCAATTTATATACCGATAACAGAGTGCAATGTTTAAGTTCACGAGCGATAAATAACAATAAACGAAAGGGCAAGTCTACATTATGTGACGAATAATTCCAATAATCTTGGAGAAATGTTATATCAGAAAGAAAGCGTGTATGTGTGTATGGGTATATGTATTTTTTATATAAAATGATTTTTTTTCTATGAATATTTCCGGAAGAAAACTTCGTATGAGCAATTAAAACTGTAAAACTTTAAAAGAGCAGTCGAATATTAAAATTTAAATACAAGAAATTAAAATATCAAGAGTACAATTTTGTAGAATTTTTTCATTTGCATTTGCAGATGCAAATAAATTATTTATTTTTAGATTTATTCTCAAAATTCCATGCTCGAATTCTTCTTACATTCGTTTGAATTCAACGGATCGTGAGACGCGCTTTGATGAAGTACTATTGCGATCTACGTAAACTAATGAGGGGTCTCAATGCCTGTGGCAGATGGCAAGATCGTTAATGCAACGTAAATGAATTTCGCTGTAGATTGAGTGCATTAATAAGCTTTCAGGGGGTTACGTCGTATCGTTCGATCGATCGATCGTCGTTTTCCATTATCGGAAGTGCGCGTTTCTTGTCGTATTCTCTGTGTCTCGAATTCAGCGGATTTCTGCTCTTCGATCCGGGGAACGTTACCACGGATGATGGTCCCGGGGATGCTGTTCCATCAATAATTCACTTGGTTTACCAGTTACAACGAGGACCCGGTGCATAGCGCGCTTAATTAGGGACACAATAATATTACTAGACGCTAGCCCGAAGTGTCTGAAAGGGGATTTAACGATATTTAACGCTACGCGATTGTCTATTGAAACGGAAATAATGGCTTACGATAATTAGTTGATGATCGACAAACGCAATATCTCTCTTGAAATACAAAGAATAGAACGTTGATGTGTATAAAGGTTTACAAAGCTTTTTTATATATATGATTGTTGCTAAATGATTTATTTATCGTTGTTGCTTAATGTTTTATTTACTGTCAAAGATCGTCGTCGGAATCGTGAAATCTTTCGTATGTCGCGATGGATCTTGGGAACGTATCGTAGTCCTTCTTTTCTTCTTTCTTAGTCAACAATTTTCTCCGTTCTAACGTGAGGTATATCAGCAATGGACAGTAAGCCATGTTCACGATGCCCACAACTCTCATTACCCAAGGGAATCCGATAGCTCTGACCATTTCGCTGCCTACGATGGGCCCTTGAAAAAGGTTGTGATACGTATGACATATATTCTTTAATGTTTTGGCTTTAATTGTAAATAGTCCGCATGTAAAGATGATTTTACCTCGTACATTTTATGCCTTTTTTCATTATTTATTTCAGTTTTATTTATATTACCAATAAACGTTTTAATTTTACTTTACCTAAGGAGTAAGCTAAACTGACAGCTACTTGTTGAATCGAGTAAACGGGTCCGTAATTGCCATTTCGATCCACCAAACTGGCCAGCAGCGGCACGAGAGCTGCATCAGCGACGCCGATGCCCAAACCCATTGCTAGATGCGGGAATATCAATTGCGACATTGTGTTGGCTGACGGGATGAGAATGGCGCTAACACCGACCACAAACACAGCCAGAATCGCCACTTTACTACGTCCGTAACGATACGCTATCACGCCAAAGAAGTTGGTCCCGATTAAGTAGCCCACGCTATCCGGTATGAATACTGTGCCCAGTTGCCATTTCTGCAAGAAAAATTAATTAAAAGTTTATGTTCTTTTTTTATGAAAATTTATGGAATCGATGCTATCGGTTTCGATCACGATTTAATTGGAATTCTAACTTCTTTCTCATGCTTTGGCAAATCAGCGTTAATTATTTTTAATCGTTGTTTAACTAGATTGATCGCATTAATGATTATGATGTAGACAGTAATAAAGTTATACACCATAATTTACGGTAATCAAACTTGATAAAACTTTTGTTTCATTAATATTTTTTATTTTAAAATAATATTCTTTATTGTACAAACCTTGGGTCTTATGTGGGTTCGAAGCCAGATGGGTAGACAAGGTTCTAGTATCGCCATTGGTGATGTCGAACACCAGATAGCTCCGGAGATGATAAGGATATGTGGATTAGATAATAAGTGCATCCACGTATTTTGTTGCTCGTTTGGCTAATATGACATGAAATGAAAAAAATTTAATTAAACAATTTAACTTTATGCATCAACAATATTTTCATGAAATACTAAAGTTAATCATTATTTTTTGACATATATTAATTTAATAATATTAATTTAATAACATATATTAATTTAATAATATTGAATCGAATTTTATTTATTAAATATTTAAAAAATAGTCATGTACTCACTTCGGCGGTTATTTGAACGTCCAACATCAAGATTTGCAAACCTGAAAACAACATTTATTTATCATCAACTTATTATATTCTTGCTCATGAAGAAATTATTTTCTCACAATTTCAATTTCGGAAAATTATTTACAAATTATTACGACGATGAAGCAAGACACTAATAGAAAAGGTGCCATCTTGCCCTCGAGATCGTAAAGTACGGAGCCGATTGGATAACCCAGGAGGACGCCAAGAGCGATGCTGCCGAGAACGAAACCCATGATCTTGGATCTTTCGTCCTCCTTGGAATACTGAGAGGCGACCAGAGACATGCCGGAGACCGCTATACATGCCGAGGCAATACCTTGAATACTCCGAGCCAAGAACAGTATCTCGTACGTTTGTCCAAAGGCGAACACTGCGACAACAACGAAGATATAGTAGCGCTGTTTATGTTAGCTTTACCCCTTTAACTATTGTCACACACTTAATTAACAAACGGTTTCGTGAACATAATTTATTATAATAATATAAACTCGTACAAATAACATAATAAAACGTAATAATATAACATAATAATATAATAACCAATTAAAAATAATTGGGTAATTAATTTGATAAATCTTTAGAACTTAATAGAAATATTTATTTGATGAATCGATTATAATCAATTTAAAACTTTCATATTCAATTTAAAACTTTATCTTTTATTTTGATAACATCTCTTTTAAAACGTATGAGAAAAGACTCCGATTATTCGTCGGATAACGACACGGATAAAAGTTGTCCATAACTTACGTAAAGCAGCCAGCAAGAGGCTCAGGTTTCCCAGAAATAAAGGTCTAGCGTAACCCAAGGTGCCGGTGAGGGTGCCCACGGCAGGATTTAAAATTAATTGAACCAAAGCCTTCGAGCTCAATAGTAATCCTACTCGACCGTTTTCGTCCTTCTCGGCGTTCGCGGTCGTGTTCGCGTCGAGCGTGCACAGATAATCGGGAATAATCGGCACTGAAACATGTCTGGATCAGCAAGTTGTCTGGTCCTAGACCCTCTTTTTCTCTTTCATGTTAATTACCAACTACCGTCAACAGGACATTATCCAGGAAGAGGCTGAAATAGACTATCACGACGGTGATCACTCGACTGTTTCTGAGGTCGCCCAACCTCATCCTTGATCATCGATCTCGATGGATAGAGCGAAGAGAGATCGAATACACAGCAAGTCACTATATTCGGAGAACGGAGAGACCTCTCTTTGGCGAAAATTTATGTTGTAATCTCTATTAATTCTCGATAATAAATGAATATCTTGGTACAATTATAATCAGATAATAGTTTAGGAGAGATAAAGCACACGCAAGAATAAAATATAAATTAAAATTTTGAATCTTTAATGATTTAATGATTAAATTTTGAATATAGATTTCATGAGAGGAGAAAGATTGAAATATACAAATTAAACACATTAGGCCTAGTTATTTCAGAAGTGCTATTCATAACAGTCTACATTTTTTAATCTATCTAAATTTAGGACGAATCTTTTTTCCAAACGTCGAAAAAAATTCCGTGATTGATCCTCTCTCTTTCTCTTTCCTTCCTTCCTTTTGTCGGCCTGATAAGCGCACGTAATTCAAGTAGTCCCTTCGTATTTCTCTTTTCTTTTTTTTTTTCGTCACTTGAAAGACGACCCTAAACGTGACTGGAAAGCGGACGAGTCTCGTACGGGCTTTTATAGCCGCTTGAAGCTCGTCCTTGCGCAGAAGCTTTTTCATGGGGGCAACGCGAAGATTGGTTCGGATGGCGCATCCTTTCACGAACCGATGCACTTTCCGATTTATCTCCATTATAGTGGCTTATCGGCCGTCGCCAGCCGGTTTGATTTTAGCGGTTTTTATGGTGATCTTATGATGTGGAAATAAACCATGGCGCACGTGGTCGTAAACCATCAAAGAACGTCGTCAACGGGATCGGTGAAGGGACTGCGCGCGTTTGATAGAATTTTCGAAAGTCACATATTTTTTCTTGTATGAACGTAATGTAAGATTGCTCTAGATTAAAATTATTTATATATATTATTTTTACATCTTTATCGTCGTAAATTTCTCTTGATATAAAATTGATACTGATATATATATTAATATATTAATATATTGACATATCGATAATATATTATATGATATATTGATATTTTATATATAACATACAATTCAATTTATTATTAAAAGAGACAATAATACATCCTCGGATATCTCTGTAAAAAAAATGAAAATTATTTTACATTCGACTACCTTAAAAAGATAAAAATTAAAAAATAAAATAAGTATAATATAATTCATCCATACGAATTGTTCTCTCATACGTCGTACTGCGGTGAACGCAAACTTCATTTTCGCGAGTCCCTTTGTTGTGTGTCCACTATCTCGCTATTTCGTCATCGATATTCCCGCGGAACATACACCTGTGCCCTGCTTGCGAAATTACGATCGACCATAATGCAATTTTGGCGTTGAGGTACATGCCAAATTGATTCTGCGTCGCACACGGCGCAGCTTTCTGCTCATGCCCCTCCTCGCTTAATGTAACGAGAAACTTTGGTCATCGAATTGGCCAGTGTGCTCGCCAATAATTTCATAAAATTATTATAAAATTCAATATTTAACAAAATTCGAAGTTATTAAAGATTTTTAATGAATAACAAGAATCACATTCTATCCTTTGTTTAACACAACATGAATTTTTCGAAACCTTTTAAATCGACAAATTATTTAAAGAATAATTGATTTAGAAATTTACTCATTTATTTCATGCAAAATTATAAATCTGTATAAATTTAATATAATGTAGCACATCAAGATGAACGCTAAATTAAATATATATTTATTTCAAAGACGGGTAATTCTGCTGAGACCTTCGTCGTCTAACCGATCCTTTTGTTCCTCCTCGTTTTCTTCGTCCTCGTTCTCGTCCTCCTCATCGATCCTTTGCTCCCTTATCATATTTGTTGGACTGGCGTATCTCATGGGATAAATTTCATTGTATATTCTGAGAGTAGGTGAGGAATTATTTCTATCACAAATGGTTCCTACGTTGTTCTCTTCTTCTAAAACTACCCTCTGCGACCCATAGATCCTTGGCTGCTCGTAGATGGCACCATTTGATGCTACTTCGAAATTTCTTAAAGACTAGAAATTTACAGAAATTTTAAAACAATTCTGTATATATAAATTATATATTTAAATTTGCAATATTTTTATATATAATTTAATAATTAACATTCAGCAATCACATATTTAACAATTAATATGTAATTGTGTATAAACTATTATTTTTTTATATTTTGAGATTTTACATTTTTAAACCTGTTATAAGAAAACAATTTTTATTAATTTTTTTTTACCAAACCATGTTTATCAGTTGCCTATAAAAAATATATATCTGATTAAACTAGCATAATTTAATGATTATTTACACACAGACCTCGACGTGTATTTGTGGCACGACATGAGCAACATCGATCTCCTTCATTTCCGCTTGAAATCCATAATTACCATATCCAGACATTTCACAGTGATAGGAATTTTCGCATCGATCGAGACGTTGTGACCTCGGATTTGGATTGCCGTAATCTGAATATGTTGATACTCGTAAAATTTGGTTTTCTTGAACTGGATGAACGTATTCATAAGAAGAACGTGACTAAAAAAAGAGCAAATTTTTTCATATTACTGATAAAAATTATTATTATTCTGTATATGAAATTCATTACATGACTATAAAGAGCAAATTTTTTCATTACTGATAAAAATAAATTATCTGATGTATTAAATTCGTAACCTCATAAATAATTAACCATTAAAAATTAATTCAATTTTTAATTAAAATTGTGACATTTGACAATTCACATAATTAATCGCAAATGCAAGAAATAAATTTCTTCGTTTTATTAATTATTTTCAAAAATTAATAGAAACATGCAGTGTTCTAACCTGCCTAGCAATCGAATCTGTCGGTAGATTGACAGGACTGAATCTTTGTCCGAGATCTTTTCTTCTGGATAGGTGTGTGATCATGTAATAAATTTTTGGTATTAAAATGCCGAAGATTATAGAGTAAGTTGTGCCAATTATGCCAAAGGAGACAACTGTGTCGCGATTCTCTGGTTGCATCAGTATAAAACAAATTAGCCATATCGCCCATACTACCAACAGGCCAGTAGAGGTACCGAAGAGGCATTTTCCTTCATAATAGTTGCGTTGTATTTTGGTGATGAAGCAAGAAGCGATGAATAACGAGATCAATAGAAATATATCATATCCTGAAAACATATTAAAAAGAAGAAGAATCTTAATTTCAAGAGATTAATGCTGTCACATGTTTAACTTTAAATAATTTTAATAAATTGTTATGATGTAAAATAAAATATCAAAATATAAAAGATATATATATAATACTAAGAAAAATCACATTGAATCAGTTTTTTTAAGTAAACAGAGACTGCAATTTATAAGATAAATTATTGTAATTTTTTATTGTAATTATTGTAATTTTTTGAATAATATATTACAATTTATTTAGAGACTCAAGGATTATATATATTATTACAGTTTAAAATCAATAAAAGAAATGCCAATGTACCTAGCAATGCAATAAATATGGGGCTTCTGGTGATCACAACCGAGTTTTTCGCGTTCAGAACGAAATACATGACAGATATGGCGACTTGGACGCCGGACATGAAGAACGCCATGAGGCTGTGCAAGTATCCGTTGATGTGAATGATGAAAACGTCGCCCGTAGACAAGGCCAGAAAGAGTGCTCTCGAGAGCATGATCGAGAATGTGAAGCCGAATGCGAGAGTGGTGTGGAGGATTTTTCGGGCGTCTAGATTCGTCTTGCCGAAATAATCATCCGTCATGCAGAAGGGTAGCACCGTCAACAGAGTAAACACGTTGGCCAAGACGAGGACGATCGTGAAGGTCGGATTGCCGTCGAACCTCTTTTCCGTCGTGAAACGACGAACGATGAAGATCACGATGACGCAGCACGCAAACGTGCCGCAAACGACGGCGATCAGGAAAATAGGAACGTAGACGCTATTCTTTAAGATGTTTTTGCCGATGATGTCTGTTGGAGGATCAAATTGATCTTTTTGCGCAATTATTTCTTTAAGAAATTGCACATTATAGAGACATATATGCTTTAATATGTTTTGATAACTGCTGTTGATATTAAATAAAAAAAATTGCATTATATAATTAAATCTTGTAATTGAATCTTGTGTAAAATTCACAAAAGGACACAAGATCGGTTTTAATAAAATAAATATAAAAAGACACAAGAAAAATTTTAATAAATTGCGAAAAATATATAGGAGGTTTTTAATAAATGCGTAATTAATTTAGAATTACAAATTCATCAAGATTTCTTAAACAGTAGATATCATACAAATAACTAGCACCGTATACATCTCACATTATTATAGATAATGCTATATACAATTTATATTCCTCTCCTGCGTCTTTTTATATTTCTCTACATTTGAATGAGCGTCTCATAAATTTTAAATAGAGTTTAAAAAAAAATTCATATTAAATTCATATATTATTTATACCTTTCGTAATGATCTCTTGTTTCTGAAAATTCATGCAATTCTCGCAATTCCCAATGAGATTCTCCAGACAGAGCTCTGGCATTTGGATCGTCATTTTCGCCGGAAATACGCGTAACTCGGACACTTCGATTTCATAGAGAGCAACATCGACGAACTCTTGCTGCGTCTTCATGGCGACCACGTATTTCACCGAATACGATTTCAATTGCATGCGTAGAGCTTCGTAGACATCAGAATCGCGTATTTCTCGGTGTGATTGCGGATGAAATTGTGTCATAATGCAGTTTTCATAGTTCCCATCATCGTCATCATCGGTGAGACAACCTTTTTTCTGGACTTCTTGAAGAACATTTGTCAACCCAACAATGGCCTTGCCGATGTCTAAGAGATACGGTGAATGGTTTATAGAGTCTCCGGCCTTCTCTAGGAATTCGTTCACGCTTGATAGTTCATCGAGACCGAAGCCAAATGTTTCCGGTTTGATGATGTACGATCCGGGTGGTATGAGATCTGAAAAGTTTAAGAGACGTTGTCAACTCTAAATTTAGATTAATATTAATTATTGTTTTGATATTCAAGTTTTAGCTTAGATTTTTAATATTTGAGCTGCTGTAAGGTTATTTTTTTTTAAATCAAATATTTATATTTAAAAAATCTTCTAAAGCGAAAAGATTTATATAAAGTGTAGATTTTTTTATGTACGCATTTATTAAAAGTTCCTTGCGGTTTTAGATAAAATTCGCGTAGTTAATCTACATTAATGGCTTCAACAACATTAGTTGACTTTATAGTTTAATCGCCTCGTTACTTCGACTTAGCAATAATTGTGGACAGAAATAAAGGGTCGTTCAAACTAAGGCTAAGAACTTTAGCGATGTCGGAGAGAAACTACCCTCTTAATTCTTAACTACTATGTTAAACTTGAATAACATAACTATTGTTAGAAACCTGATCTCCGACTGCGACTTTTAAACGTAGTAGTTGTAATTTAAGCAATGGTCGACTGTTACATTTACAACGAATAGATAGCCACTTTCGTAAAATTATAGAGACGTCGGAAAATAAAATTTTCGTTTAAATTTTCGTTTAAATAAAATAAGGAAAGAGATATTACTTTCGTTTTATAAAATATCCGCACAGGGATCAAACTGTTTCGTACGTGCAATATCTCTATCGTCTCGTCTGTCGATACGTAAAATTACTTGCCATCAATATTCGAATTATCGAGCGGTAGCAGGAGCCACGTTTTCCTTCTGATATCCTTCGAGTCCTCGCCTTCTCCCAGCCATCGTTGTATGTCATCTCTCTCGCCGATCGCGACTATCACCGTTTCCGCGATGTTCTCAGTCCTGTCATCTTCGATGCGTTTGTCATGTCGCTTTACACACACACCAGCATCTCTGCTGACTTCCAGGAAACGCTCGAAAACTGAATTTACGTTGGCGTGAACTAGATCGATGACCTCATACGCGGTGCTCAGATAATGCGTCAAGATGTCGATTGCGGGTATTGTAAAATTTCGTTCTCCATAAGTGACAATCGGCAAATCGTCATAATCGTGAAAAAAATTCACCATGGAACTGTATTGGAAGGGCACTAGAACACCCATTTCGTAATTTGATGCGCAATTTTGTTCATGTATCATTCTCAAGACTTGTTTGAACACTATAATCCTATTGTGACATGTATCAAGTATTCTTATCCCTACATAAAGAGATAACGTATTTATTTAGAGGGAATTCGTATAGAAGTATATCTTAAAATACTTTAACACTGTATATAAAGTGTATAAATATATCAATATAATTTTATATCTCATGACATAATATTGAAATTATCTTATAACTGATATAGTATATTTTTTAATTTTTAATTTTATTTATATCTATATTTCTTAACTCAAATTTGAAAATTAATTCTTAATACTTGATATTTAATATTTAGTCGGATATTTTTAATGGTTGCAATCAATTGTGTAAAAATACATGAATAAAAAAAATTGTAGCAATGCATTCGATAAACATGAGTTCTTAATAAATAAATTTTATTATTTTTTCAATATATGTTATAATAATTATTAATTTTTTATAATAAATTTTAACTGATTATAATTTTATGTGTAATATTCTTTGTGTTATTTTGTATTGTGCAGTTTGTTGTATGATACACAATTAATTTTTACAAATAGATATAAAATACAAATGTAAAATTTTTTGCTTACCCAATTTTACACTCGGTACGTGATCATATTTGTTTAAAGTTTGTACTACGTGTAATGCCGTCGAGGCTTGCTGAAGACCTTTGGGTGATGATATATTGCAATATTGTCCGTAATTGGCGTCCACAAAGACTGATTAAATACCAATGATTGTCATTAAAAATTAGATATCACGAAAGACTAATGGAAAGTTTTCTTTCCAATCACTTTTATTGATTAAAATAAAAAGTTTTAAAATAAAATTCTTGGAATTATAAAAAAGACATATACGTAAAAATATAAGAGTTTAAATTTATGGAATGAGATCGAATTTGTCAAAGAAATAATTATAATCTTGATCGCGCAAATAATTGCTTAAATTATTTGCTATTTATTTAATTTCTATTTAAAATTCTATTTAAGTATGTTCTATTTCTTATCATTTAAAAATTATACAATGCGTTACAAATAGAAAACTAATTTCATTGTAAATATAAATTATGCATCATAATTCTTACATTCTGGTCAAATTGATTGGAATCTTATTAATTAACGACTTACCTGTTAAAATAGCGTCACCCATGGTCTCCAATAACGTATTATTTTCAGAGCATAGAATCTGCTCGCTCTTACTCAAAGTTAACAAAATGACGCTCAACAAAAATAAAAGTTTTATCAGCATATTGCTCATCATCATTTAATTTATATTTGTAAAGTATAATTAAATAATCTATAAACTCCGACAAGTAGAATATGTATTCGACATTTCTTCGCTTCTCGTTCTTATTTTATACATTTCATTGTCATTATCAATTATTGTTACTTTATCATATTAGTTTGTCATATTAATCTTCTTATCTTATGTGATTCATGTGATTCTTTAATGAATTTCAATTTATTTCATTTATTTAACTTAATTATATTATTGCGACCTTCTCCCTTTATACTGATAAATAAATTAGTAATTTTATATCAATAAGATTTTTAAATAGAAGACACTCAACACATTAATTCGTTATTTATTTTTTTTATATTATTCTTTATATGTTAATTTTTTTGTTATTTTATATGTTATTTACTTTATTAATGTTATTCTATGATTAACTGTTTTTTGATTTTGTGAACGATAAGATATCTAGTAATCGTGATTCTGGATGCGTGTGACGTCATGTCAGGGCGCAAAGCGTCGTTTAGCACGCAGAGCATTCTTCACGTAAGTCTCGTCCGCTCTCCTTTGGCCATTAATTTCGATTGTATTTATTAAATCGCGTGACAAACGCCACTTCGGTGTTTAATAATCAGCACGGAACACGCGCTCCTCTCCTCTGTCACTTCCTCTTCCAATTTTTACGATTACCGGTGAACATCCTATCTCGCACTCGGTGACAGATTTAAAGCATTAGAAGTCCTAAGTCCGTTATCGATCTTCCCTTGAACAACATTTTGCCACTCGAAAAAGTTCTACTCTTTGCGAATGAGATCCTTGTCGAGACTCTTGTAAGTGATTATTCTTCGGACAAGGTCGTTAAAAAATTTTACCCCTCGTTTCGGTGTTTCAAACAATTTTATCACTCGAATCTGTTGTCGTTAATAATTCTTGATACTTTGTCAAAACATTTTTCCCCAATTTTGGTCCCCAGGTGAAGGTTATCACAAAATCTCGCACCCTTTTTTCCGCGATGTATGAAATAAAAGTTGTTGTGACACTATGCGATGTTCGACGTGAAGTCGACGGAAGCCATATCTCTGTCAGGCTATTACTATATTTTTTTAAACGAATTATCTACGTGATCGGTCACGTTGCCATTGGACGTGACGTATAAACGACAATAGGTTTTTTTGAGATGCGAAAGAATTAAATAGAAGCAAGTTTCAAGATTAGATCAATATATGTCATTAGGCTTTTATCATAATCCCAAAATTCATAACAAGAGACTATTTTTCTGATTATTTACGTTTAATCTAATTATTATATTATCCGATTAATATAATATATAATAAATATTAATATATAATAAATATTTAATATATAATAAATATATAATAAATATTATTTTTAATTAATATATAATAAATATTATTTTAGTATTTAATGCTATTTATTTATCTATTCTATGACAATTTGATCGTCAAAATATCATTTTACGCTATGTAGCTTGTTGTAACTTAAAAGCCAACATTTTGCATTTTAATTTTATTTAACTTTCTCGTACTTTGATCTAATTTTATTTGACTTTTCTCGTACTTTGATCGATTACGTTTGAATTCGTAAAATTGTTTGCAAATCGATCTCGTTCTTTTTTTATTTTTCAAATGGATGATAGTAGAAATCTGAAAACTTTAATTTTTTCACATGTGTGAGATTATTATATATGTTTTTTAATTCATCATTTTTGTAACGAGCGGTAATATCGAGACACCCTGTAGACAGGAATGAAATATAGTTATCTTAGCTACATTCCTGCATACCTGTGAACAGGTAGCAGATAGCCGACATAATACTCGAGCGTGATGTAACCCGACTCCTATCCTAGACCCGGTTTAGTAGAGTGTGAGCTTGGAATCCTCGATGTACCTGCGAATCGTTTTCCTACGAATAATTAATGTCTCACGTACGCGAGATTGGGCGATCTCTTTCGAGTGAATGCCCAAAAGAGACAAGAAGAACGTAAACGCTTTTCGAAGCCACATCGAACCATTCTTTTCGAAAATTCATCTATTCATCTAGGGATTCTTCGCGATCGGTCGCCTTCGCGGGAATCTAGAGCGACGAGCGGTTCCACGTTCGCGGCCGGAACGTCTATAAATTCGGTCCTAGACTCCAAAACTTGAGATTCCGTACGCGGCCAACATGCTATTCGAAGAGGTGGCCGAACGAAGCACCTTCGATCTGCTCACCCGGTTGCTTTCCGCTAGGCGCAAGTCTAGATGCCCCTGTAACCGCAGGCTGGGCTAGTAATTATCTCTGGCTGCCTCACGACGCTCTGTAATTATTCGAAAAGTCGCGTGAATGGAGACGATAGGGTTTAGAAAGTCAGGAATTCAATGGGCACCAAGAGTGCCTCTTCAAAGATTTACCATCGTTGCAGCATCGTCGATGGTCTGGTTTTGATAGAAATCATGAAAAGAAATACGATATAACATCGTGCGTATTCAAGAAATGTAAAGTATAGAAGGTACAAATTGTAAAACATCTCATGAAAGATTAAATAATCTTTTATATGATTTATATAGTACCTTTTTTTAACATGAAATATAATTAATAAAATAGAATGTCGCTAGATTTAAATCCATTATTTGTAACAGTTCAAGAATAATAATAATAAAAATTGCGTTTTTACTTTTTTTAAATTTGTACAATCTTTTATAGAAATACTTGTCATAGAATATATTATAACAATACTTTACATATTCCTAAATATGAATTTTTAAAGTAGTGTAACAATGTTAAAACAACAATCCGGTTTTCTTCCATTCATTTCAAAAATTATTTTTTAAATCTCATATGATGTATCTTGCATATTGTCTGAAATCCATTTAAATTCACTGACGCGCGCGGACGAGAAAATCTGTGTACGTTGCAAAAATATTTTATTAAATTCATGATGCATTCTAGCTTTTTGTTCATCGTGTCCACGCAGCCAACGCCAGCATTAATCTCACCCCCTGGATTGCCTACTAGAAAAATCCCCGCAATCGTGCGCAGCGTGTCAAGGACGTCCCATTATGCAACTGTGGACTGTTGCAAAAGTTTCTGTATAAAGCAGACGGCAGATCGCTGCGTTGTTATCGAACGACATCTCGCCAACTTTGAATTCGGGGTTCACTGCGACCTGGAAATAAGAAAACTTCTTTGAAATTTTCCGGATTCAAAAAACTCGCGATATGCCTAATTTATTCGGAGAAAGGAGGAGAGCTGGGAGAATCTCTTGCGTCTTGTGCTTGTGAAAGTAGCTTTATTACCGTACCTTGAGTGTGTAATGTCCTGGCTCGAGCTCGGAAATGTCCACCCACTGGCAGTCGATATTATGCTTGTAAATGTCACTGCAATTAACGGAAATACCTTGGTCTCCGTAATTGGCGCATTTGTATCTAAAATAGCAACGCCGTTTCAAATTATAAACTTTATTAAGGTTTGCAGACACACATAATCATGCAATTACAAACAAAAAAAAAGATGATGAAAAAGATGACAAAGTGAAATAAATTAAATATATAAATTGTGTGTCATGTGAAAAAGGGAAGTGTGATTGATTATGCGCCATCAGGATTCTCACCTGGGTTGAACACCGGGCATACATTGATTGTCCTCGAGACAGAAGGATGCTTTGTGGCCTTCGGCTACTTTATTGCCGCTTGAATCGATTATGTCGAAAGTAGCAAATACTTCCATCGAGTGATAATGCCTATAAAGGGAAAACATGTTAGTTTATTTTTATTCGTCTCATAAAAACTTAAATTAAAAATATTACTGTCGAATTTTTAATTTCAATATTTTAAATAATAAACGAATCAATTAAAAAATCGTTTATTGTGAAATCTATTTTTTCGTTTTATATTTTACTTTAGGCAGGATGTTTTATCTTTATCGAAAATCTAACTGTTATGTATTAATTAAAATTATTTATTTTAGAAAATTTTCCCTTTTAATCTTTTAACAAATTTTTTCGATTCTAATCTATCTTCTTTGTATCACTATTACTCATTAAAGTTTACGTGATAACAATGATCTTCTGCTCGATTTTCTGCCATTATCAATGGCATCACTCACATGTGACACATGTGCCATTCCCACAAGTGCTTGGGTACTGACGGACGGAAATCTGCGGTGCCGGCGTTCAAAATTCTCGCTGTGAAACGCAACAATCGTCTTGTCTCTAGATGCCAATTCGCAGATTCCTGCTGCACTTTATAGGCCTGTGAGGCCACGCAATTCTCCTCCATCGCGCACTGCAGCCAATAAAGCTGACGATCCTCAAGATGCGCGGTGCGCATCAGCTCGATATGATCGAACACAAGATCGGCCATCTCTCGATGACATATCACCCCCGCCACATTCTGCACCGTCCCTGAAAAATCGTCATTAATGTCATTTTGCGTCAACTTTCATAATATCGTAATTATAATTACGTATACGAATATAGTAAAGTATATTTATACTCGCTTTATATGTCACATGACTTTTTGTCTCAAGTATGTACACAGTAAAAAATAAAATGTTAATTTTAACATTTTTCACATATCCCAGATAATTCCTTTAAATTTTAAATTAAAATAACTCATTTGCCCTATGTTACTTATTGACAAACTAAAAATGTTAAATAATTGATGCAATACTTTACATTTATTTTTGTTATTGTGACTTTAAGTGTAGTATAAAAATAACATATAAATTAATTAAAAATTACTCGAAAAAATAGTTACAATAACTCGCACGAATTGTTGTAGGACATTAACATATAATAAGTAATTATTAAAGTAATTATTTTAACTTAAATTATTTGTAATAGAAACATTTGATTTTAGTAAATTTGATTATTTTGTGTTGTATGTCGTATGTTGAAAAAGTTCAGGATTATTTGAAGATTTACTTTAACTTTTCTTATAATGTTAAACTGACTTTGAGACATGTTGATTGTTTAAAATGATTAAAAATACTCGAAATAATATTTCATTTCTAAGAGACATATACAAAGTGTTGAACAAAATTATGAAGTTGACATAAATGTAATACATGAAAACGTTATAAAAATAATAACATATCAGTTGTATGTTAACTTTACAAAGTACTAATCAAAATGTAGTAACACAAGAAAATTTTAACATATGGAGGTACAATTATTTACTGTGTTACATTTATAGTACATTTATAGTGGCATATTTAAAAGGAAGCATTGTATACGATGCTTAAAGATGTTTAATAATTTCCATAAGAATAATTTTCATAAGAAATGGATTATGATATGATTGGAAAGAACATTTCTGCTTTGTTTAAGGATTTACATTTTTTCTGTCATAACTGATTTCTGACGCAAATCTGATAGCAAAGATTCAACTTTCGCAAACTTTTCTCATTTATTTCTTATACATATATTCATGAAATATATCTCTTATAATTGAAATTTGTAATGCTGCTATTGATTTCTACGAAAACTTTATATTGTCATGCTATAAATAAGATAAATATTCTCATGATAATACTATTATAATCATCTTTTACACATAAATATATTATTAATAATATTTTATAAATATCTTGTGAAAAATAGAGTTAGAGAGATACCTGGGCAATCTACAATCTTGTCGTGCTGGCATTCAGCCAGATTTTCCTCGTTTCCATTGCACTGTATTCCGCTGATCGATATCGGCATTGACTTCCGATTGTCGAAAAAATTAGTCTGTATCGCGTCGGAAGCATAACCGAGGCCCAATTGACGGCAAACCACAGCAGCTTCGAGAATGGACCAACTGTCACCGCAGACGGTACTCCACTCTGAAATTACGTGGCCGTGTCAACTTTACGTGTGTCGCGAAAATTTAAACATGTCGAGTTCATTCTCTCGTCAATGACATTTAACAGTCACGATTTTAAGAGTAAAAAATTTAAAAATATCATATATCATTTTTCGTTTTATTTCAGTAATTCAAGCGCGATAAAAAAAATGCGACAGCAGTTGTAATTTGCGAGAGAAAACTTTTTTCATCCATTTATGTAACTTTATCTTTTTTTAATTAGTTAGTCTCTCGTTTTATTTGTGAAAGTCTCGGAAATTTTACAATAGATGAAGAGAGATATTATTTAAAAAATATAGTTGCAATTAATTTCTTTTTTTTTCTTGTATATTGTATCTTACAATTTTGTCGCGTTACCTTTATTGCCTAATTTAATCTCCACTTGGCCCTCGGAATGCACGCGTCCTCCGGATAATCGTAACGCCATACCTTGCTCATATATATCCTTTATTCTAGCCTTCGATAATTCTTCCTGCGGGCTCGGTGACGATGATGCTTCCGTTTTTTCATCGTGCAAGCAAATGACGCCGGCCGCTTCGTTGCTACCGCAATCGGAGACACCCCATCCGTCGAAACGACATTTTGCAATTTCGTCTTCCGATCCGTCGCAGTAAACGTTGTCCATCCAGTATCTTCCTTCGAGGTGTTTTTAATGTAAAAAAATTATGCGCTTACATATTACACAGTAAAAAATAAAATGTTAATTTTAACATTTTTCACATGTCCCAGAAAGTCCACTTTAAATTTTAAATTAAAATAATTCATTCGTCATATGTTACTTATTGACAAACTAAAAATGTTAAATAATTGACACGATACTTTACATTTATTTTTGTTATTGTGACTTTAAGTGTAATGTAAAAATAACATACAAATTAATTAAAAATTACATGAAAAATAGTTACAATAACTCGTAAGAATTGTTGTAGGATATAATAGTAATTATTTTAACTTAAATTATTTATAATAGAAACATTTGATTTTAGTAAATTTGATTATTTTGTATGTCAAAGTTCAAAATTATTTGAAGATTCATTTTAACTTTTCTTGGAATGTTAAACTAACTTTGAAACATCTTGATTGTTTAAAATGATTATGTTAAAAATACTCAAAATAATATTTCATTTCTAAGAGACATATATAAAGTATTAAGTTATGAAGTTGACATAAATGTAACACATAAAAATGTTATAAAAATAATAACATATAAGTTGTATGTTAATTTTACATTAAAGTACTAATCAAAACGTGATAACATAAGAAAATTTTAACAAAGGACGCAATTTTTTACTGTGTATGTGCTCGAATTTAATCGTTGATGTAAAGGAAAATAGATAAAGTGAAGAATAAAATAAATTAAATTGAGACAAATTAAAAGAGATATAATGTAGATGATATTATTATTATGGAGAATAAAAAGATGTCCAACGCTAAAGTTGTGACATGCGTCTGCAGATAAATTGGAATAAATGAACAGCTTGTTATGTGAAGATCAGTGATACATGCAAATGATTGCACTCGACCGTGAAAGACGTTTTACAATGAAAAGACAATAATGTCTCGTCTCTCACTTCTGGCCTGACCGAAGTGGCCGTATGTTGTCGCTTTAATTGCCCCGTTGAAGCCTAATTGCCTGCAAACCACACGTGCCTCCAAGTCGTCCCATTCGTCATCGCATATACCGCCCCACTTTCCATCGTGAAGTATTTCCACGTTTCCTGCGCATATATAGCAATGAAATCTCGTGCTTACGTTTTTCCTGTTGCGGCAACTCGGCCCAACAGAAAGGAAATGATCGATTTACAAACTTCCGACTTGCCGCGGAAAGCATTATATTTCAATAGCATAATATCAAGATATTTATAAAACGTTTAATATTTCAATATTTTTACTTAATAGTTTAATAATATTTTACTTTTAAAAAATTAACACATTTTAAATAAATTAGAATATATATTTAAGTTTTAAGTTAAAATATATATTTTTTATATTAATTTTTAAGTTATATCATATATTATATTATATATTAGTTTTTAAGTTAAAATATATATTGCATTATATTATATATATATATATATATATATATATATATATTATATATATATATATTATATAATATATATATTATATATATATATATATATATATATATATATAAACATGCAATTTATATAAATTTTAAATTATACATTTTCTTCTGTCTCTTAATATTATATTAATTATAATATATATATATATATATATATATATATATATATATTTAATAATATATATTTAATTATAAGTATATACATATCATTTCAAAAATGATATAAATTAACTAAAGGAAAAGAATGCTCAACATTTCTTACATAGGTATATTTATATTGATAGAAATAATTTCCTTTAATATACATCATTATCAATTTTTAAATTCGATCATGTCTGGCTGGTTTGAATACTTTGGTTATAACAAACTTTAGCTATAACAGTTCGCGCATTGAAAACTACATAATGTCCGAGATATGCTCGACTTAATAAAAGTCGCATTAGGAAGAAAATCATGTGGAAAAACGCGCGCGGCCTTCTGTCTCAATAATAACAATATATGCGGAGTAACAATATAAATCGGCAAACCGATCGGCGTCACGGATCGCGACCCTATTTTACGGTCTGATTTTACGGTGACCATGCCATCTGGCAACGGATTCCGGGTATCGCATTGACAAATAGTCGTTGATATAAATCTTCCTCGAGTTGACCCCTTTTTAATCGTCATCGTGCTCGCGCGCGCGCGCGAGACTTGCACAACCACGCGATAAAACTCGCGCTTCGTTCTTTATCTTCGCGACAGACAGCAAGAGAGAAAGAGAGAGAGAGAGAGAGGTAGAGTTAGATTTATAACCCGTTTATATTGCAGTCGCGCTTTATCGCGGGGAAAATATCAACCCCGAACGAGAGTCGAGCTTTTATCCCGGCCGGATTTACGGGATGAGATGCGTCGCGAAGCAGCGCACTGGTGCACGCAATCGATACACTCGCCGCATCGATCTGTCGTGGTAAGAAAAATCGAGAGGATGCTGTACGTAATTGATTGGCGCATCAATTGATCCAACTTGCACAATAAAGTTCTCTTGTTCCGCCTGTAACTTTATGCGACGCGCGATAAAACTTTTTTTTTTCACATACCCCATAGACTCTCCTCCCCCGTTATTATTACTTTTATTATTACTATTTATTATTCGCGCAATAAGATAACTCGATAGTAGTAGATAAATTGTAAATGAGTTTTTCCCTTAATATTTTTCCCTTGATATTTTTCGTTGTCACTTTATTTTTGAATTTTTCACAAATTAAATTTTAGATGAAGCTAATTAATTGCAGCACCTTCGTAATCGCCATTTTCGCCTCCTATCAGCTTTAGAGCTCCCTCCTGCTTCTTCAGCCTTCGGAAATCCTTCTTTAACTTTTTGATTATGCGCATCTTCCTGATCCTCGTATCGTTGTTGCTCATACAAAACTCAAATATGGATAACAGCACTATCAAACTAAACGCAATTCTTATCCGTCGTAATTGCACTTTCATTTTTCTCGCGTTATGAAAACCTTAATGTTCTCAACCACGAGAGTAAACGCAATTACTGCAATTTTCTGTCTATTTAAAACGAAAAAATTTATGCAAAAGGATTGTTGGAATTTTCGACGCGCATCATTCTGTTCAACAAATGTATTAAAATTATATATATACAAACTTTAATATTCTATTGGAGATTAAAAGGTTTTTTAAATGTAAATCTAAGAGGTCTTTTTCATAATGATTTATAATTTACAAATTTATTTACGTGTATTTTATTTAAAAAAATTTTAATAAAAAACGTTGAATTTTACTAATTTATTTTATGCGAAAATTAAAAAAGTATAAATCGACGATATTTTAAATCATATTTTTTAGTAAGAAAGAAACAATCGTGAAAAATTTGGGCAAATACAATTTGTTTTATATATATAATTTTTTCAGCACTCTGTATATGTGTATCGTGTGCACGTTCGATGTGTCACAAAGTATCTTCTGAACACTTAGAATTTAATTACAGACTGTTTTTTCACTATGAATCCTCGAAGAGTCAAAAAGTCTTATCGTATGGAAATAATGCACGCATTTCGCATACGATTCCGCGGGCTCTACTGATCGTGGGACACGCAACGCGATGACTTAACGCACGCATACCACGTCAGCTTATAAGATCATCAGCGATCCAGATGGCGGATTGCTTCTTTTTCCGCGTCGTCGATCTCTTCCCGAACGATTCATTAGCCTCGATGACCCGCTTAAGCCAGCTGTCGTCGCGATTAGAATAGCTATGATGATATAGATATGAATAGATATGATGATATCCAGCTTTCGGTAGAGATTAAAACTCTGAAAGAAGGAAAAAATCTTCTCGATTTTCAGCCCGCCTCACAATCTTTCGTTTCTTATTTTCTCTTTGATATTTGATCACCTTGCCGCGTAAAAAATGTCAAAGAATCTTAAATAAATAATGTAACTTTTCTTCTTTTCTTTCATGAAAATTCACCGAATGAAAAAAATTAATAAATAATATTCTACTGAAATACCCAAAATATCTGTTTGAACTGAAATGAATTTTTTAAGGTATTGAGTGCAACTTTAGATCGCGATCTCGTTCAACGAATTAAACATGAACATCGGCAGAGTTAAAACTGACATTAAAATTATTTTTCTTCGTCCTACGAATCTTTATCAAATTTTACCTCGGATAAAAGGTTCAACGTTGTTTATTAATCGAGACATTTTCAGGATTTATCGATTCACTATGCATCCACTCGCGTTGGCGAAGCTTTGATTGACTTTCCTGATGAATGATATGATCTACTGTGATGATTGATACTGGCTTGCGTGCTGTTCGAATCGGCCGTTTATAACATTCGGTTCTCGAGCGTTGCGGAAACGCGGCATATTGTTTCGTCGTGCTTGTAGATGAGAATCAACTAGTTTAACCCTCAATTGCTACGGTTAAATTTGGATAACTATCACTATGATGAGGTCACTTTAATCCTTATAATAAATTACATTAATGGTACTTGTGTGTATATATGTGCGCGTGTGTGTAAGTGTGAATGTACCTGTGTGAAAAGCAATTTGAACTTTCATTACTTACCTTTGACAGAGAACGTTATATCTTTTATAAAAAGTTCTAAAGAAAGATAAAAAAAGAAAAATTAATAACAAGCTCTAACGACTCAGGCACTCATTTTAATAATCTTTACAAAATTTCGCAATAGCTTTGACCTCGTTATACTCACAAACTGACTTTATATATGTACTTACATTATACAACAGCTTATCAAGATAGGATATTTTATATGCCGCAATTTATCATCACTTTATTTTGAAGAACGTTAAAATTTACAAGATAAAAAATAAAAATAAAAAATAAAATAAATGTAATATATATTTAAATAAATAAATATATTTCGTGAAATAATAAAATATAGTAGAAATTTTATTATATATTTCATATCGTTATTTTTGAAAGTTAGTCAATCAAAGTGTAATGTATACTTTGATATATTAATTATTTATCTTTGATAATAAATTTGTGGTTATTCATTTCTTTTTTTCTATTTTTTAATATATGAATTTTTTTTCTAGATCTAATTCTGTGTCGAATATTTTTATCGAGAGATATTTTTCGTCCTATCTCCTGCTTTTTCATTATCAGTGGGTTTTTCTGATAATGACGCACGTCCCGAGAAAATGAATAAGTGCACTCACGTTTTTTTTTTATTCTGCGCTCTGCGATGAATCCAATGCGAGTTCGAGTGCCGTCATTATTTCGAATAGAGAGGCTTGATTTCGAGAAAAAGTAGTTTAGAAAGCCTTCGGTAAGACACGGTTCCCGTCATTCGATACATCGACTCCGTATCATTCATGATTGTTGCGCAAGCATCATCAGATAGTATATCTAACTTTTATCAAGTGGAACGCGCTGTTGCAAAGAAGGCTAGAATTAGCTATTGCGTTAATGGATCTAATTAAATTTATTTTATTGTATTTTAGATTATATATCTATTGATTAGAAATATGCATAGAAAGACTGTTAATCCATACATCGGACATGATAATTCGAAAGTGTATGCAATTTGGAAGTGTATACACTGAGAAAAAAAGTTGTTAACTTGACCAAATCGTTTAACTAAATTATTATTTTTTTAATTGAAATATTTAAATATTTAAGTTAAATAGATGTCATATCAGATTTAATATATATTATTTAATTTAAATATTTCAATTAAAAAAATAATAATTTAGTTGAATGGTTTAGTCAAGTTAACAACTTTTTCTCCTCAATGTACGTATATCTGTTATTATTTTTCTATCTGTTGCCCAATTGATCGTGGCTTCATCATCATTATTGATTCAAGGTCGACACAAAAAAAATCATATAATTCGTAACAGTCTGCGTTTTTGACACGCATCATTTCGTGGCATAATCGCGGCAACGAACGTGTGTCGAAGTAATTATCGTATACTATTAGAGAAAACAGCCCACGGCTAAATTCTTGACATACTTCTGTCATGTTTAACGTTGAGGGATGAGAAGACGTTATCTTCACCGTAAACGGCTTCTTGTGTTTACAAAAAAGAGAACAATTTTTTTTCACGCAGCATAAATAGATATTGTTTTTGTCATCGAATTTTTTTTAACAAATGATAATTATATAAAGAGAGGAGTACGAAAAAATTATTATACATGTATATGTAATAGCAATGAAAAGATCAATAATTAATAACAATAATCATTTTTATATATTTTTTAAATTTTTATATTTTTATACTGAAATCATTTTTCCAATTTATTCAATTCCTTTTATTCATTTTAAGATTCGACATAATCTGGTTATGTAAAATATATAAATATTCAATATAATATAATATAATATAATATATATCGAACATTATGTGTTACAAAGAAATCACACACAAATCGATATGCCATATCTTAAAACAAATTGATTTGCATTTGTACAATTAATTTTTATATCTGTATTTTTTATAATAAGATGGAATACTATTTATCATATCAAAAAAATTGTTATTATTGATTATATGAATTTTACATATTTTCTCTTTTCTTCTTCTTTATTAATATATATTCTTGTAAGAAATGGAATGAAGTGCCGATTTATCATTCGACGAATCAAAGACGAGCGAAAAAGTGTCACACGATGAATAAGTAAAAGTTTCCTATATTCACTGGCTGAATTATTAATGTCCAATCGATACAGGCACGAGCCTATTCGGCTGGTGAGGGCAATGTTGTGTATGAGTATCGGGTTGATGTAACAAAGAGTTGAATATGGAAAAGCGAAAGTAGAGCACTTTTTTGTCGCGCCCACGACGACAATATGGACATCATAAATCGTGTGCATATGCAACGGATGCAGGTGTGGATGCGACAAGATTGGCGTTCGCCTTCTGATCGCATCGTTTCGCCGATGCACTCGATTAAGCACGCGTGTCGCTTAACAGCTCGCCGTCATTCGATTTGTCCACTTGACGAGTAATTAATAAATAATTTAATAATTGCGCTTGATGATACGAGAACAGGCAGATGGATTAAAAGAGCAATTAAAAAAGTTTTTAATTATAACTAATAAATTTTAGATTACTTTTATTTAATGGATTTTTTAAAATTGAGATTTGCTTTAATTCTGAATTCTAAACATTATTCGTTATTTAAATGAAAATTGGATTATAAATTTTTCAAAATATTTACCCTTCGCACATAAATAAGCAAAAATGTATGATTTATTTTTCATTGCATAAATCTCTTTTATATTATTTATTACATTAATTTTACGAAATAAAAAAGTAATGTAAAAAAGCTAATTTATTTCGATGCATAAATCTTGTTCTACGTATATATATATATTTATATAAAAGATAGATGTATATAACATAATTTATAATATTTATATCGATAGAGAGAGAGAGAGAAAGAGAGTCTTTGAAGAAAAGTATCATTTTTATATATCGTTTTATTTTTACTCATTATTTATGCGCAAATACATATCTAGACATTTTTTGCACAATATTTATTATACCGAATAATCATATTGATCATACTTTGCGAGGATCTTTCAAATGTGTATGATTTTTCAAAACAATTCACTCATCTCATCATGTCTGGAATTCACTGAGAAAGATCTTGATTTCCAGACATTTCAAGCAATTTGTCGTGCAAACATTCCTTTCTTTGCATTTCTTGCATATAATTGCACCTTTTAGTGCTTTTGCTGCCATTATTACATTCCGTCAGTTTTATTTAAGTTTTCCAGTACATACGGTAAACAATTATTTTATTTATGTTTTATAAATATCTAAATTCTGTCAAATAGTTGTCACACCTTTGTCATTGTAATAATAATCATTATTACACGCGCACGTTATAATATAAAATTATAATTAATTACTTATTATTATGTGGAAAAGAAACAAAATAATTATTTCTAAATTCATATTAAAAATCAAAAAAACATATAACCTTTATAAACGTTTAGCAAGATTCTATATTGAAAAATTTCGAAAAAATAATCGGAAAAAATATTTTTCTCCGAAAAAAAATTTCGGAGAAAAATATTTAAAAATTCGATTGAGAAACAATTATGCCGTATCCTTTCCAGACTTCTCTTGCGCACGTTTGAATTTCGCGCGTTGACCGAGCGGCGAACAATGGCGGTAACGTCGGCTGGTCGATACGAGGACGAGTCTAGGGACTCTACCACACCCAATCGTAGCGGCTCGCGCCACATACATACATCTCACTCTCGTCCGTGGACGAATAATAGTGCCTCTCTACGCCGCGATACGCAAAGGAGCACGCTACGTCTCCTTCCCTTCCCCACCCACCGGTCTCCACTCCCCACTCATCCCCACCCCACCGCGCGTGCTCGGCGCCGCGCGCCGCGGAGCAGTCAGTCGGTTCTCGTCCATCGTGCGGAGCGGGGCGCAGTGAAGTTGGCGCGAGAGAACGACAGAGAACGCGAGTTTACGCGATCGGACACACACAGTGACGAACCGTCGTGCCTCGCAGGCGTTCGTTCGGTTATCTCGCGACGATGCTCGTGTCGTGTCGCGATCGCTAACGTCGCGTCGCGTCCCGGAAGGAAGAAAGGCGCGTGTCTCTCTTTCTCTCTCTTTCTTAAGGGGAGAGCGGTAAAGAGGAGAAGGAGGAGGAGGAGGAGGAGAAGGAGGAGAAGGAAGAAGAAGCACGCCTCGTGGACCCCGTGCGGCGGATCGTGACCGTGAGACCGGAGGTGCGCGGTCGGCCATTGTGCTTTCTTCGCGTGTCGCCGATACGACCGCGCGGTGCTCTGCTTGTCAATCGGTGTGTGCTTCTGTGTGTCGGCTATACCGGGTGAGATTTACGACGGAGAGAGAGAGAGAAAGACGCACGTACGCACGCCGGCTACTACTATCGGAGCTTCGTCGCCGCCTCTGTTAAACGCATCTCCTTCGACCCCCCCTGGCTCTTGTCATCTCCTCCACGATCAGGATCGAGGTAAGTGAGACAGACATTCGGCTTTACGCCCGTCCTTGCGTTTCTCCTTGCGCTCATGTTCTCGGAACGGAACGCGTCGTGAAACTCGATCGGTAACGCGATGCCTCTTCTTCTCCCTCTCTCTTGTCCCTCCTTTCATTCTCTTTCTCCCTCTCCGACTCTGTGTTTTTTTCTCCTTTTGACATCGCGCGGATGACACGTTTTTTCGCGGGTCGCCGGGTCACGCTTACTCCGTTTCTACTCCGAATCGAAGGCTCGTGACTCGATCGCGAGAACCGGCGTTGAAGATTACAGGTTGAGAAAGGGGAGGAGGAATGGAAGCAGCTCACACGTTTCGATCACGAGCGCGACTTCGGAGCGATCGCTCCCGCGTTTCCGGCGACGTACGCACGCTCCTCAAGCTTACGATTGTCGTATGCGAATGCTTGTTTCGGAGAAGCGAGAAAGAGAGATAGAGAATCGCGTGTTACAAAATTTCTGAGACTGACGCTAACTGCGATTAACCCTTGTTGACGCGCGCGCGCGCGCAAGATCATTCATATTTTAATTATTACATTGAATAAGACAACGGATTTTATATTCAACATATGTATTCAATAGATACATACACGAGTATTGTTTGTTAACATCTCGACATTAATATTCAATGTATCCAACAACTCGTAAAATTGTTTACATTTTCGAGCTGTACGTGAAAGTCATTAGTATTTAAGTCATCAATATTAAAGACGTAGCGATTCTGTATTTTCATTCAGTAATTTAGCAAGCGAAATAATTTATTGAAATCGATATACTTTTAATATCGCAATAACTTTTACATAAGGTCATGTATAAAATAACCCACGAATATTACTCTTTTACGGTATATAACTTCTTTGAAAATAAATTTGGGAATTTTTTTGTAATAAAAATAGCGACGTAATTATGTTTTATCGAATTTTTTCAATATTAAATATCTTTATAATTAAACGTCAAATTAAAACTTTATTAACCCAACAATAGAATTAATTGAAAAATAGTTTACTATTTATTTCTCTTCTGAAATTTACTTTGCTAAAAGTTTCTCATCTTTGATGTTTAATTACTGCAACAAAAATTAATCATTAATTATTAATATATAATATATATATAATATAATTACTCCGAAATTAATTAATCATTAAATATTTATACATCCCTTCTTGACAGGAAAGATTTTAATTTGGTTATGGAATCTGTAATGAAAGAGACACGGTGGTCGATAAACACGCACTTTTTGCGGGACTGAAATTTTTCGGGGGCTCGAAAGGGTTAAACGCGGCATGTGTTCGATTCATGCGCGCGTTTCTTCTTCTATTTGCCGCCGACGAGAGCAAATAGAAGGCGTATTAAGCTGTCGTTAGATACGATTCCCCGAGTGTTTGCTACGTAAAGAGAGAATCCACAGTCGGATCTTTAGAGCGCGCGAGAGACTCGAATATTTCGCCAGTTAATAGTCCTATTTATCGGTCGTAATTGCACGATTAATTCGTCGTTCCGCCTTCATTTATCTATCTGCTTTTATGCTAGTTTACTAAGCACACACATGGATACACACACACAAACACATCGCAGAGAGAAATCCGCATGAATATGCTAAAGTGCATTGTAAAGACGGACACTTAAGTCGATATACTCTGTTTAAAAAGATATTTAAGTTTATGCAAGATATATATTCGATATGAATTTCTAAGATATATAAAGTAAATTAAAATACAAGAAAATAAATAAATCAAGTATCTATTAGTAAACTGTTTTTAATTTTATATAATAATAAATAAATTTTTTTTATATATAATAATAATTTTATATAATAATAAATAAAATAATTTCTTTTATATATTAAATATCAGCATGTATATCGTGCTGAACAAAATTACTTAGGCATATTCCTGTGCAAATTTTCATTTCTCGCTTTCTCACACTTGAAAGAAAAATCTGTTCATTGTTATTGTAATTGTAACGAATTTTCGAATAAAATAATAATAAATAGAGATGATAGAGCTTAACCTAGTTATCTTTGTTGCATATTTAATGTTAAATGTTAATTAAATTATAATTATTAAATTATAATTGTCGTGCAATGATACTTTTCTTCAGCGATTAGACACTTAATTTGTCTGCGACGCTCATCCTGACACACGAGTCGAGACGGGCAATATACTGGGCAATAAATCGCAGTGCCCGAACGTTAGTGCGAAAATTTGGCTTTTATTCGGTGAGAAAGAGAGAGATGAAAAGCGCGAGTGGATCGAGAGAGAAAAGTGAGTCTCACAGGGTCATCGAACGAGGCTTCCCGGGCGACAGGTAGAATATATACGTGTATATGTCTGGTTAACGTGGCCGGCGCATGGCGTGTTAGTGAAGGGAGAGAAGGGTGAGAGGAACAGGAACTTGCAATATTCATTTACACCCTAAAGTCCATTTGCCGCCGCGTTCTAGTGCGAAAAAGCGTACGATGTATATGCTTTTGCGCGCACGTGCCTACCAGCCGGTCAATTGTCAACGCAAAAGTGCTTGCTCTCTTCTGCGAACACGTTGATCATACGAAGTAAATCTCATCCTTTTTCTCTGTTTTTCCTTCTCTCTCTTTATTTTTTATAATACGCTTCGAATACAGCGTAATTCGTGATAGAATTCTGAATCTCCGCGTATAATTTGACATATCCAATATAATACGTCTTATAAGTTAGTGAAACAAAATGAGCAGAACCAATTATAATTAATATTTTTAATGAGCAACAAATAAAAAATATTAATTATAATTATAATATAATGTCAAAATTGATAGATTAAATATAATAATCAATTACATATATATTAATATATAATTAAATAATATAATATATAATTAAATAATTAAATAAATATTAATATATAATTAAATATTATCAAAACGGATGATATTCAAGACTTTAATTACGTATGCGTCTTGCATAAGTTAATTGTGTGCAGTTGTATCGCGTTTTGTAGTGGAAATTTTCCTCTTCATTATCATTATGAGAAAGAAAATATCGTAATAAAGTAGCTGAATCTTGTCGGTATTCCCATATATCTATATATATTTTTTATTTTTATTTCATGACGCAGATATTACGTACGTAAATTCGACATCGTCAAACGTTGAATTGCAGTCGGATTAGATGAATTGCAAACGAGGAAAATCTTCCACGATTGGTTTCTGTTGCAAATTGCCGTCGAGTACGTCGCTAATTTTCTAAACAACGAAACAAATCGTATGTATAATATACCGTCTTTAAAGTCATATCCTAATAAAGTCCCCTCATCAGACCGCAGATTGCAAATTACGGAATCTGAGATAGCGAAACTCGAAACTTTCGCGTGACTGAAATTGAATGTAGTTACGGAATATCGCACGAAAATCGACACTAGTTTCCCAGGCATCGTTAACTAACGCCGGATTTAAAATATTGGCATCAGAGATATCCGTTATCGTATCTCGAATATATTTATTTCGATATCGGCAAAATGTTCCTAACTGTCCTTATTAACGTAAATTGCACGATATAAAAATTTCTCAGACGGAATTTTTTTCGCTAAAACTGCAACGTAGAATGTATTTATAAATTGTTAAATCCTCTAATAATTACTACAGTACATTTAACAATTAAATAGTTTCGTAATCTATATTTAAGTTTCTAATCGTTAATTTTATTATTTTATTAAAAAATTTTATATTTACTAAAAAATATTTACTAAAAAATACTTCATTTTTCACAAAATTTTTTTGAAACAAAGATATATATTAGATTGAACTGAGCATGAAAGAAAAGAATTGCTATTTAATCATCCTTTTATATCTTGCATACATATGTAACGCAAATGAAACGCACAATTACATTATATCGTGATACTCGACGATTGTCCCTCGCATCGAAGCGTGAAACTTTCGTCTAGTTCAAACTAATTTCGCAACGCTTGTTGTATATCAAGCATTTGTCAGCCGAAAATAAAGCAAGCTGTGCATCCCACAACAATAACAGATTCACTCAGTCATGTTATTATTACATCGAGGCACTTTTCGTTCTTATATATCTGATATCTATCATTCATTTTAGCTGATTTTATCAATTTGAAAAATTTCTATAAAATCATTCATCGCAATCTCTAAAAAAATACATTTACAATTAGTAAAAATTGATTATTTTCAAATACGTTAAAGAGAGCTGCTGAAAAAAAAATAAAAATAAATTTAGATAAAATATATACGCATAAATTTAGATAAAATATATACGCATAAGTTTTTAATAAAACCATCGTCGTTTCGAAAATTTGATCACTTTTTTATATTTCAAAATATAATTAAATGAAAATATTAATAATGTGAGATGTCACAAAAATTTAAAATATTTATAATTTATTATTAATTTTTTTATAGCCTCATTTCATGCGTGTACAGTCATAAAATTTATATAGATGAATTTCAACTTCCTGTGAGTGTCGATTTATTTTATCAAAATTCGTGAGGAATTCCGGAAAAATTCATCTTCTGTCCGTTACGAATTATGGGCACGTTCGAACCGATAAAAAAAGAGAGAAGGAGATGACGAAGAGAGATAATCCATAATCCTGGAAGAAGGACGCCGGATATTGAAATATCGTAAGGGCCCATTGTGTAAGGACCCTTGGTCCGCTTCCAATTTGAAGCTTGCCGATCGTAAACGTTTATTATTATCGTCTTCTGCGGAGAAGCGCATGGCGTTCCTTCCTGTCGGCCAATAGCCATTTGCGCTGATACAGCGGAATTGCCTTTTCTATCCCCCTCGAACCCTCATCTCGCGCTCTCTTCCTCTCCCTCTTTTTCGCACACAACACATAAGCGGCTATACATTGTACCTATAAATGCACATTACATGTATCTATCATACACATACATGTACTCGTACATGGTGTTCCAGATCAATCGTATTTCTTTCGGCCTACCAACTTTTTGGCCAATATTGAACGAATCTTTACGAACGAAAGTATACTAAAATTTTAACAGGACCTCATTCTGTTTCATTTTTTAATCTCTATAACTCAGAGCTTGAATTTCTTTACTGAAATAAGATTGGAGATTGTCTGAAAATTATCTTTATTAACTTTCGAAACTTGTATATTGTTATCAATTTATATTTTTCTAAATTTTTTTAAGTTTTAATTAATATATTTGAATATTAATAATATATTTAATTAATAATAAATAATAAGATTATATTAATATAAATATTAAATAATTAATTAATTTAATAATTAATTTATGATATAATATTTATTAATATTTAAATAATTACATTTTAATAATATTTATATTTAAGTTTTATTAATTTTTATTTTTTCACTCATGTTTTCTTTCATTTATATATTTCATTTTTTTAAAAACGATAATTTATATTTTTATTTAAACCTATAAATTAATTTTATTACCTGTAAATTAATTTTATTTTACATATTTTCCAATAAATTTAATTTAATAATATATATAATACATATTATTAAATTAAATATTTTATTTTATTGGAAAATATATAAAATAAAATTAATTTATAGGTAATAAAATTAATTTATAGGTTTACATAAAAATTTAAATAAAAATATAAATTATAGTTTTTAAAAAATAAAATATATAAATGAAAGAAAATATGAGTAAAAAATAAAAATTAATAAAACTTAAGTATAAATATTATTAATTAAATATTATTAAACTATCACTCTTCAATTTATTTACCCTATTTAATTTTATTTAATATTAAAATTACTTAATAAATTTTAAAAAATTAAAATTTTTTATCTTTACTTGTTTATAATTCAAAACCAACATTTTTGTAAAGAAATGTTACACGCGAAATTAAATCGAATGACGGTGAAAAAAAAATTGACTCTATCTGGGACATCCTGTACACATGTACGGACGTACTCGCGTTGCCTATGATATTGTCAATCATGTATAAACTGCATTACTGATTGACACAATGCGAACGCCTCTAATGCATATCAACGTCAGCGGCGTGTATTGTTCCGTCGCGTCGTTATTGGCAATTTCTATTTCGCTGTGTGTATATATCGCCAATCGTCGAAAGGGGATGCACGCGAGCGAAACGACTGCCTCGTTCTCGCGATTCAGGTAGAGAAGGTTTCAGAGGCGGCGATTCGTTTTTCTCTCTCTCTCTCCTTTCTTTCTCTTTCTGATCCATTTCTCTTCCTTTTTTTCGCGTTGGAAACGTTTTATCGCTTTCGCGGTCATCGCGACGTTCAAACTGATTTATTGTACCGATTTACGCGTGTTCCACGCCGTATTTCAATGTGCAAGCGCATCGAGTCGCAAACATCTTCTCCTTTCTTTGGACTTTATATCATCGCAAATCTGCTACACGATAGAAAAATGATGAAAATGGGCGATTTTGTCGGGAATAAATCGTCGCAAAAAGAAACGTTAATCGTGTGAAAAGACCTTTAAAAAACGGAGATAAATGTACATAGGCGGTCTCTCGTTCGAAGTCAACATCAGCGGTGAAATAGGATTTTGTTTGTGAAAGAGTAATTACAACGAAATTGCGTTATGGATCGAACGGTGGATCGAAAGGGAATGCAATCGCGCGATTAATGGCGAGATACTATATTAGCCTGACCGGGAATCCAGACATGCTCGACACGTCGCATCGTCGCGCCGTCAATTTACAGTCGCGTATTGCCTATCTCGACAATGGTATGAAAACCGCATCGCGCATTCCAGTGCGTGCCGGGACGATGCATCGCCGCAAGTGGTGCTAACACTCTTTGCCATTCAAAAACTATTCCGCCAATCACACATTTCTTCAGAAACAATTCTTCTCGCAGCACGTAACGTGTTAAAGCGCGGCTCATATCGTATGTCGTTTAATTCCGTCACAATTACGTGATGTAAGGTTACATTACAATGACGGACGATAAAATGCCTCGCTTTTAGAAAATATAAACATGAGAAAAATAATACGGTTACGTAAAATAGAAGAAAAGAATATATATAAAATTAATAATAAATGATATATAAGATGTTTCTTAATAACGAAAAAATTTAGGAGATGATCCATTGTTCAAAATTAAGGGATTTTTTTCATATAAATATATGTTCCTACATCCCTCCCTTTATTTTTTTGGTTTTCACATTTTTATTATAATTTTGTTTTTGTTCCAACATTTAATTTTATTTTTAGTTTGAAATTTAACTTCTCGTAATTCGAAACCTATGCTATTTAGCATCGTGCTGTTCACGATAACGTATTTTATTTTTTTTCTTGAAAACTACAAATTTTATGAACAAAATAAGAGAAATACAAAAGTTTCTAAATAAATCAAACTTTTTAATGCATATTTTTAGGTGATCATATTCCGGTATTAAAAAGTTTTAATAAAAAATTGAATAGGGGTTGCTAGTTTCATCCCCTTATAACAATAAGGGAGGTCGAAAAAAAATGTTAATAAATAATCTTTTTACTAATAGAAAATATCCATCTAATTTCATTTCTTTAACTTGTTCGAAATTTGAGAAAAAAATAATATATGTTTATATGAAAAACCTCCCTTAATTTTCGACAAACAATCATCTCCTGAAATTTTTCGAACTTATTAAGAAACACCCTGTATATAAAATTAAAAATACGATATAATAATTTTTGCGATACTTCTATATCAAAGAAGCTTTACGGCTTTAAAAGGCCGATGTTTACGTTGTCATTGAATCGTTCTTATTGCGAAGGTTAAAAGCTCCAATTAGGAGCGTCGCAAATTCCCCGTCTTTCTCGGATGTTCATCTAGCTCGGGGCGATTTGCTACGCGAGAATTAATCGAACCGGCTTCCAGCGAGACGAGCGCGATATCGGGAGAATTAAAAGGAGGAGCGTGTCTCATCGGCCGGTCGGTCGGCTCGCTATAATTGAAAAGGACGGCGCGAGTTCAATTTGCGGTAGCGAGAGTCCATCTAATTCCACGACGTTCTAATCCCCGCGTTTCCGCGGTTACTCGGAATTTATATCCCCGGCGGTGTCGCACACGTGTACGAATGTGTGCGTGTTGTCTATGAAAACGGATCGCCCATTAAAAGCCTCGGCCGGATATGAATATACGTGGAACATTCGCGTACTCCGCTTATTAGATTAACGTCGCGCCGCGCGCCGCTATCTCCATCTCTCTTCTCATCCTTCCCCCTCACTCCCCTTTCTCCTCCTCGACGCACCTGTCCGCTGCGTCGCCATTCACGCTTATGTACGCACATGTGCGTCAGTGACGCGATGTCGCGCTAATGAGCACACTCGCCGATGTTTCTGCGAGGAATGCGTAGGTGCGTTTGTGAAGTTTAGGAATCTTTTTTTAGAGAATAATTATTGAGCACGTGGAGATGCTGAAGTACGATCCGGTTCTGAACGTTATTAATGATTATTTATTTCCGGTTTTTTTCTGCGCTGCATTTTCGCCAATATTTATTTTTGCATAAAGGTCACTTTTTTTCATCAAATATTGAATTAATGTTTCCCGGGGAAAGTAATAGTAAACAACGCCTTTGTAAAGTCGGGTATAATAGTGACACGATTAAAACATCAAATGAATCGTAATTAATATTGTGTTACGATCGATTCTCTCTATCTCTCTCTCTGTCTTTATCTACCCTTCTCTCTCTCTCTCCCTCCCCTCCCCTCTCTCGATTTATCTATCTTTATTTATTTATTTATCTACCTCTCTACCCCCCTCTCCCTCTCTCTCTAGCTATCTATTTATCTATCTATCTACCTCTCTTTCTTTCTTTTTATTCTTCGAAAATCTTCGAATTCTCACAATATAAAAGGCAATCGAATCCACGAGTGATTGTTTTTCAGCATGCGCGTGCACGGGAGCGAATCCACGAGGCGGTCCACGCGAGTAACGCGTCGGTGAACGCGCGAGAGAAATGAAATGCGCGAGGGGAACCATTAGGAATCCGCCGCCCTCGGCGAATGTCATTCACCCTTGGTGCGCACCGTAAGAAGAAGAAGAGGAAGAGGAAGAGGAGGAGAAGGAGAGGAGTCGCGCCGCAGAAGAAGAGTGAGCGAATAAGTGAGCGAAATCGCGCACGCGAGATCGGCATTCCCGCGTAATTCGTCGTCGATCCGAATCTCCTCCGCGTTTCGGCGACCAGTCAGTCAGCCAACCAGTCAACCAGCCAGCCGTCCGTTTTGGGGCCAGCGCGTATTTCATCGTCAGAAAAGTGAAAGGCACTTCGCCACACGTGGCGTCCCTCTCGAGCGAGCGCATCCCGGAGTTCGCGCGATATTTTCGCGAGGTCACGTTAAAGGAGCACGCACACTCGGAGTCGTCCCGTCGTCCATTAACGCCTCGATGTAGCCTTGCTATATAACTTGTATCAAAGATAGCCTTTCGCCCTTGTATCGCGATATTGTCACTAATGCCTCGCGCGAACCTGAGCGCAAGGATTCAAGAATTACTCTCGATCGACCGTCAATTTCTCTTGTACTTGTTGTTGTAGCGCGAGTCTGATTGCGAGTGCAGATAACGAGGACAAATTCTATCTGGATGACGCCAGTGAAAGGGCACGCTTGTCGATGCTCGCGAGACGCCCTCGTCGCTCATCGGGGGAGGAATTGATGGAATGTTTGATTGAGGAAGAATCGATGATTGTGGGGATCGTTAATCGCGGCTCGACAGCGAGGATGATTGCGCGGAATCCGCCGGTGACGAGCGTCGATTATGCGATCAACGCATACGACGAATTTGAGCATCGAGCGATCTAATTCCGTCGGATTGGGAGATTCATGTACGCTGGATTCATGAACGGTGATAAAGCTTCTTCCGTAACACTGCTATTCGATCCGTTGACTTCGCCTATCGAAAGATAAAAGAGATCCTAGACTGATAGAATATCTACCGACTGATTAAACGGGATCCGCCGAGGCGCCGAATTTATCTTGGCATCATCGGTTCTGACGCCATCCACTTCGCGATCGATTTGGTCTTGATAAAAAATCAGCACAACGTCGTCTTTCACGAGATACACTTAAACTATTTCGTCGATTAATCTAATTGCGAGCGACAACCTCAAAGCTATTCATCAGCATCCTTGTTTGCGTCGCCGAGCCACTTGAATGCAAGTGCGCAATTTTTTCTTCCTTCAAGAGACTAATACACGTGATCCTTGAAGAATTCTCCTGAGAATTGAATCGATTCCAAATAAGTTGATTTCGACGATCGATCGAGTTGAGAGTTGACTGAGCAAGTGAAATCGAATGAATCTCTCGCATTGAGATTCTTTCTCATTCGATTAGTGATAAAGTTGCAGCAAAGGTCCGAATCGAGATACATCGAGAGACATAATCGACTCCTCGCTCGTTGGTCCTCGGTGAAAGGGGACCGATCGTGGACCCTGGTGGTGTCCCGGGGCCGCAGATGGGAACTGGTCTGTTAGGACCCGACAGGGTGATCAACCCCGTGTACCAGCAACGACAACAATCAGACGTGCTCCTCGTCAACGTCATTTGTCGACGTCGTCGTCGATCACGAGGCCTCTTTTTCTCCCACCCGATTCGGCCGCGCAAATCCGATCAAGCTGGAATTGATGGAGTTGGAGAACATCGTCGCGAACACTGTGTACCTGAAAGCGAGAGAAGGTGAGTCTTGACTTTGTCGTCATTTATTGCTATTTTTCAAAATTTTTTTACTCATCTATTTATTAGAAAATACACTTCGACATGCATTGATGACTCAATTCTGAACAATGAATTAATCTTACAATTATATAAACTCTATAAATTATATAAATTCTATAAATTATTATATAAATTATATAAATTATTATATAAATTATATAAATTATATAAATTCTATAAATTATTATATAAATTATATAAATTCTATAAATTATTATATAAATTATATAAATTATATAAATTCCAAACAGTCAATTGTGTTGACAATCTCGCTTTATTTTCTTTTTAATATTATATAATGAGCTTCATATCTTATCTAATAAATAAATAAATCAATTATATTGAGTGACATAATAAATATATTCCGTAATCGAAAAGTTTGTGCAATTTTTATATAAATATATTGTTACGATATATAATGATTAACGATACATGAATTACAATTGTATGTGATAATCGAGTCAATTACAATTGTATGTGATAAGTCGAAAATTTTTAACTCTTGATTTGAACCAATTAATACACATTGAATTCATGAATACTCTAAATTTTACCATTTTTATTTTATCGAAGTTATTGTTGAGAATAAGAATTATGATGTGTATTTATTATGTAGCTGCACAAATCATTTTATGACGTGTAATAATTAATAGTGCGTCGTTTACAATACGTGTCAAAAGCAGTTATTTAAGTTCAGTCGATTAATGCATGTTGAACGTACAATTTCGATATTGTATATTGTATGTACGTACTTATATATAGTCTTTTCAAACACCCTGTACATCGTTATTACCAAGTGTTCGCTTGGGCGACATTTATTGCGAGTAAAATCGCTCCGCAATTTTAGCCGCGAGATTGAGCGTTCGGGTTTAACGTGCAATATTTATCGTTACTTTTGCGTCGTTTAACACATCGAATCGCTATTATTGACAAGATTAACTATTGGGTGCGTATTTCGGCGTAAACAAGAATAAACGTATTTTTATATTTAATCGTAATTATATTTCTCGAAAAGATTTAAACATAATTCACGTCCGAATAAAATTTGTTTTCCTGTAATTTTTATCATGTTACACGAGACTTACATCGACATTCAAAAATTTTCGATCACAAGATTAGTGAAAGAAACTTGCGCGTTTGATATTTTCTGTATATTTTTATTGAAAATATAATTTGGATTATTGTTATTGATAAAAAAATATCCATTGTAGACATTTATAACGTCACTAATTGAAAGATGGCAAGCTTTTGCAGTTGTCATTATACGTGTTTAGACACGATGCATTGGATCAAAGAGGGCCTATCCGGCGGAGGCATTTATGACGGCTTAGTGTAGGTGTCCGTATTTTAATGCGCGCATAAAAACGATCTTGATGCTTACGACGACAGCTTAAGCGCCGTAACGCGAGCGATAGATTGAAATAAAAAAATCTTTACGGCGAGAGGGAGAGAAAAAATCGGGGTTTTTTTTTTCATTTTGATCCAACACGTTTTAACACATATATCTCTCGTCACAGGCGCCGCTAAAACGTGAAATAAAAGAAACACCGGTTATTATTTCGCTTTTTACCTATCAAAATTGATTTGTGCATCTACGCTAACCGGACATTTTTTTTAATGCCGTACATTTTTGTTGCTTTTTTTTGAATTTTACATATCTAAAACATTTCTTTCTGTTAAATTTGAATGTACAATACAATAGAAAAAATTTAAGCTTTAAAGAAATAATGAAAAAAATATAATAAGATCTATAGAACATGAAAAATTCAGAAAGATTAAAAAACATTATAAATTTCAATTCAAAGAAATACGATTTAAAAAATTGATAAAAAAATAAGAAAAATATCATTTATTTAACAGATACCAGATTGCACAAGAGGATGAATATTTATCAATTATAAAAAAAATAAAAAGAAGCGATCTTCCTGCTCAAAAAAATAAAAGGAAGAGATCTTCGATCTCAAGAGCGCAAATATATATGTTATACTTTTAATTCCGAGAATCCATAGCGTCGAGACCTCCATGACGAGCATACGCTCTAACGTTGGCAAATTAAAAATGAAATTACGGTGTGTATCGCACGAGCCATCACTCGTCGTATATTCGATACTTATTTGATATAGAGAACGAAAAAAAACGAGAGAAAAAATAAATTGTATATGAAATCACTAACGATATTTCAGGCGCATGAGCTCGCTTGAAAGTTTTTGTAAAAGCAATTTTTTTGCATCTTTCTTTCAACGATGCACTATCGAAAAGATATATTTACAGTTGCAAAATTTATAATATACATGTACGAGAGGATTTAAAATAATCGGAAAGCATCGTAAAATAATCGGAAAGCATCGTAAAATAATATTAATTATTTTTTTCTACGAGTTACATGTAATTATTATTAATCAATGTCAGAATAATTATTTTTTTAATCTCTACATTTATTTCTAGGAAATCAGAGATAAATAATAATTTAAGACAACGTTAAACTATACATTAAACGTTTTAATGTATAGTTCGATATAAATAATAAATAACTATTTTAATAAATAAGTATTTTAATAAATAACTATTTCAGTTATTTAATTATTAATTTGGAATTATATAGGAATAACTCCGTAAAACTCATTTTTTGAACAAAGAACGTCATAATCATCATATGAGTTTTTGTAACACGCTTGATGTTCATTGCATATCACGACTTACATCTTTTTTTACAGTTCCGTTATTATAAAAAATTCTACAGCACGAGGGGTCGGTTTCCCTTACAATTAATAACGTTTCGCGATTGAGAAACTCGAGCCGACGAAAATAGCATCTCCCGCGCACCTCTGACGTGTACACCAAAAAGATAGGGACTCGAGAGATTTTTTGCAGGGTCAAATACTCGATTCGATTCTTGCCGTCTATTTTTAGCCTCGTCACAGGGTACAACGAACTTTGCCGCTGACAGGGAAACGTGACGTTTCACCTTTCGTTATACTCCGCGCGTACAGCCTATCCCGCAGGATGTCGTATAAATAAACGTATTCCCACGCTTTTTTCACGTGAGAATTCATAATTTGATTTTTTCCCTACCAACGATTTTTTCTTTAACAACGAAATTCTCGATAATTGTAAAGATTTGTTTCCTTCTCGTAAGAAAAAAAGCAATCTTGAAGATTTTTTAGTTTGCATCAGAAAGTAGAATAATTGTTTTCAACATGTAGAATAATTCTTTTTTTAGAAAAAAGATCTCCCGATTGAAAAAAAAAGTAAAACTTTTCTTTAGATTAAATTTTAAAACAATTTAATATTTAAAACAGTTTAATTAAAGAATCAGAAGATTTCGGAAATGAAAGTCGACAAAGGATCGATTTTTCAATTTTTAAATGGACTCTATTTCAGAGTTTAATTCGAGAAACTGCAAGCCCAAAGTCTCTCTAGGAGAGTTTTCGAATAAAATTTGCATAGAAATCATGATTACGTTCACTTAACTTGAGACCGAGGTCTGTTGATTACCGCAAATTACGATCGACTGGCAACCAGTCGAGGGTTACAACCACCGGCTGGCGTTTAATTAGTAAATTACAAACGGCGTCCTGTCCTAAAGAGAGTGCAGGCGCGCCATGTGATGGTCGGAAAGTAGGTAAATGGATTCGCGTGATAGCGAGAGTAGCAACGGCGACTGCGTCAATAGCCTTGTAATCACATCGCCTTGATAAACTTTACAAATAAAAGCCCGGGGAGGAGTCCCGACAGAGCCGCGAATTACGTAAGTATACAGGAGAGCCGATAGTTAGAAGGGTAACGGGTTAATTAGCGGTCTATCGTACTCGTCGTAACGCGGCGACGTAATTAACGGGGCGTTCGATCGGCAAATGACTGTAATCAATCTGTTGCGTCGGCGAAATACTTTCCAGCTTACAAAATCCTAATTTATCGCGCGGTCTCTTGTTGCGTCTGCGAAGCTATCGCCTCGTAACGTTGTGTTCGCGTGTCGGGAGGAGTGTCCTCGATGTTGTTAATCCTAGATTAACCCTGGAGGACACGATGCGCCGATTTGCATACGTAAAGCATATCAAAGTCTGATACTGCCAATTAAAGTTCCGGCTTTCTTTTCACGAACTCTAGAGATTTTTTGATATCTGCGCGAAATCGTTTTCGAAGAACGGAACGTTAACGCGCTCGCTGTCGAATCATCTAAATTTTATTCTGGAGAATTTATTTTTTCTTTTATATTAGGATTTTTGATAATTAAAGATAATTTTAGCATCGAAGAAAAATTTAATTTTGAAGTCGAATCATTCTGACGATTAAGCAATTTATAAAGTGTACTTGTGAATTTTTAATAACTTCTAAAAAAATCTTTAAAATACACACCAAAAGCATAATTCATGATATGATAAAAATCGTTGGATAGCAGAATATAATAGCATACTTGTAGATCAAATATAACATTAAATAAAAACATTTAAAATAATGAAAAGATGATATTTTATGCAATTATTTGCAGAAAGATGTGTTTCAACAAAATAAATATTTGTATACCGTGTTCGTATAATCAAAAGTTTCGTTTCGGGTCGAGTTCCGGGAACCTCAATTATCATAATGATCAAAGAGCAAAGATACGCGCAATGCAATTATCATAAATAAAGCTATGAGTGTAGTTGTCGCATACTAACATAATTACGTGATGACGACGAGACATGAGGAAATTCCACGATTGGAACGCGAGTTGTCACGGATAAATTACTAGTTTATAATAACAACTACTTTAAATCGTAGTGTATTGGTATAAATCTTACGCTTGTACTTGGTCGCAAGTATTGATAAAATGTAATAGAACGAATAAATGAATTATTATTAATAATGAATATGATGAATGAATATTTGATGATTACTTGTTAATTGAAATATGTATGAACAATGCATGACGCAATGCGCTTATCTATTTTCCGTTAAAATAGCATAAATTATTTAAATTAAAAAGTTAAATCAAGAAAAATTAGAATAAAAACGAAATAAATTCGTGATTTATTTTAAATATTAGTAAACTTATTAATTTGTTTTACAAGTAAATTCGTTAATTTATTTTAAATATTTTCAACATCTTGCTTTTCAAATTTTGTAACATCACTTTTGGTATTATGTGATTCTGGATATTTTTTTTGATTACGACTAATCAAATCGAATGCGGTTTTTTTTATTTTCTGATATTGATGCATGACTATACATCGGTTAGATGAGATCAACAATTGCATAAGTTATATATTGCAAAAAAAATAATTGAGTCTTGTTTGCGAAAGATACGAAATGAAAATTGAACAGTCTCTTCATTTGATGTTTTATTAAAAACTTTGGTGTTTTTTTTAATATTGAAATAATTAATAAAAAATTAAATTTCTGTTTTCAAGATGCGTCTCTCAAGCTGATTACATGAGAGTCACTTATCGACGTTAATTTTTTAAACAGTCGAAATAAATTTTAAACAAAAGATTTGATTGAATCATAAAAAGCATGCATATTTCCTACCATAATTAGCATACTATTTTGACGAATATTTTTTGTGGATCACATTTAACGATTGATGGTGAGATACGCGATAGATTCGTTCTGTAGACAGGATGCAGCGCATGCATTGGACAGGTCCTCGTTCCGCGCAATGCAATTCACACGCATCGAAGCACCGCGCCGCGTTTCCTCCCCCGTTTTCCTCCCTTTTCCTCCACCGATGTGGAAGAGAAGGTGGAGCTACGCGACCCCCGACTTCCGCTCGTTGGGGATCGAACGAGCGAGCCCGTGGTACGTCGACAAAGTACAGGGTGTCTCGAGGAGAGCATAAACCCGGACACTCTATTTGATTCTCTCTCGAGTCGACTCGATCTTAACGAATATTTTATTCCAGGTGGCTTTGAGCCACCTTCTTATTCTTTCGACATTGAATAATTTATCAATGTACAATTTAATCTTTTTTTCTCATCAGAATGAAAAAAAGCACTACTTCGTAAATTGGGTTAATATTTCTCATGGATTATTTATTAAATAATAACAATAAGTTGATGCATGGAATGACATTTACTTGGCTTATTTTTATTGTTCGAATTTTCTCTACTTGATATTTCTGCGTTCATTATTCGTTAAAGTTTTTAATTGTATTATATATATTATATATATATATATATGTATATTATTTACATATATTTTATATATTATTTATATATATTATATATATCATTAACGCATTCGCAAACAATTTTTATAATATCTGTATATGGTTCTCTACATAATCAACTTTGTGTCAGATAATCTATTATCTCGATAACAACAGAGCTTTCTTGGGATGACCTGTACAATGAGACGTTCATGGAAGCGAAAAACTTGGGACTAATATCATGCATCTCTTGCCCGTACATTTCCCTCCGCTTTTCCGTGTGCTTTTCGTTTTTCCGCACGATCGATACCATCGTCGCATGGGAGATTTTGTGGATTCCGCAATGAAGGCTACGGCATCTTCTTATCGTAGCTGTAATCAGAATTTGTTTAATGCAAATAAATGTACAGAGTGTTTCGAAATTTACGTCAATTTTTTCGTTCGCGTGCAATTAAAATCGGGCATTTATTTTTAAGCATATTTCCAATTAATCTTTAATTTTTTTTAGATTTTAATGCGTCAAAACGATATTAAATGAACTTTTATTATCCATTTTCATGTTGGAAATTAAATTCTCTAAATTTCCATTTGCTTATAAGTATATACAATAAGAAATACTACAAAGTTATGTAATATTTTTTAGTTTTTTTCCTTGAAAAATTTAAATTGATTGTATAATGATTAAAGACTCGATACAGAGAGGAAGAAGCGTTTACAAATGAACATTTTGCGGCTACAAAAAAATTATCTTTTCTCGTGATTTATAATTCTCGGTAATAAATTTTTTAAATTCGTTATGCTATTTTTATAGCAACAATATTCGATAAATCACGTAATGTAATGATACATAATGTACATCAATCATTATTGTTGCATATGCAGCATCGTGCAGAACGTGTATTGCAATGTGTTATCTAACGTTATGATGTTCGAAGATTTTAATAAGTTTTTGTTGGCGCGCATGATAGGTTTCCGTTGTCGGAGTTTATCATCGTAAGTAACGCCTTGTGTATGAGATGATTCATACTCCGTGGTTGAAGGAGAATGTAAGATATATCAGAAGTTTAGTTGCTGAAAGTCTGTCATTTTTTATCGTGAAATAACTCGGACAATGTTGATTTCTCTCTCTCTTGAGACATTATGTTAAATGATATTTTAAATGTAACTATAAATATAATGAGATGTTAAATAATAATTTTAAAAGACCACAATTATGGCATCAAAGATCTATTTATCATATTTATTAAACAATAAAAATTATATTCTTATTAAATTAGGATATGGGTATATTTAAGTAAACAAAATAATGTGGTTAATTTTGCTTTATGTGAGATTCTGAATTTTTTGATAATTTATTATTCACTATTATTTTATCAAAAATATATAAAAGTGGTAAAACTAATTTTGTGTTAAGAAATGAAATATGAAATTTTAGATTCCCATGTTATATTAAATGAAGAAACGAATCTTTTTCAAACGGTTTCTACCGATGGAGACGCAGAAACAGAACGTGGGAATATTGTATGTATTTCTGGTGATGAATTATGTGAACGGTAAAATGGAATAACTTTTTTCTCGTTTAGCAGCTTCTATCGTGACGGGGTCAAACTTTAATGTCGTTTCGAATTCTACGAAGTCCTGGAATAAATCTTGTAATATCGATCCGATAGTCGTTATCTCTATCTGAGTGAATTTTCTAACTTCCGGTACTTTTCAATCTAGTATTTCGCTGTCTATCCGCCGTGAAGACATTTGCGAAGCATCTGCTTCAAAATTGAAACGTAAAGACTTTATACAATTTCCTTCTTAAACGCATTTTCATATTCTTCGACGTCATTTCAGTGTATAAATTATTGATTAATTTAAAAGAACATTAGAACTTGAATCATAAATCTTTATAATCGTACTTTTATAAATATCTTTGATGTTATACACGTGTGCACAGTAATGTTAATATCGAAAGATATTTGAGAAAATTTTATCTATAAAATACCACGATTTTTTTCTAAATACACGATTGTTTTTTTACATATACGTCATTATGTTATCGGATAAAAATTAAGTTAATAGCGAATAAAGCGATAGATTATTTTGTTTTTAATCTACCTTTGAATGCTCCGGATCTATCAATATAACGCATTGGGTATTACTACAAATTCCTCTCGATCTTTAATTAATGGCTATCATATGGATAAGCCATATGCGTATTCGTTTTTAATTAACGTACAGCGGCGCAGGTATTGAAATTGGAAAATTTTTTCTTTTATCTACGCGATGATGAAATTCCTAATAAAAAATTTCAGATAGCTCGCAGTGATGTAAAAAAATTCTGCATCGTGAAGGAATCAAACCGGAAATGAAATACGTTGTTATCTTAATATATTCAAACGATGAACAAGATTTATTATTTCACATATTTTGATGCTTATCTGTATTTTTTTTTAATTTTCCTGTTTGCTTCTGCGTAGGCGGTGGTGACAGCAACAAGGGCAAGAGTAAGAAATGGCGGAAGATACTTCAGTTCCCACATATTTCCCAATGCATCGGCCTAAAAGATAAACTGGGTGAGTTTTTAAAGTTAAAAGTACAGAAACTAGAAGATACAGATATAGAAGCTGGGAAAATCTTAGAGAAAGCTAAATAATATTTTGTTTGAGCATGACTTTCGCGACAATGAACATCTCGTGCAAAGCTCACTTAGTAATCTTGTAATTATTACATTTCAATATGCAACGCATATTACGCAGTTGTTGGAAAAAAGTTACAGGAGGGTGAGGAAACGAGATAATCGCTCGTTGCATATCCCGTTAACCTACTTTGATAAAGTCCTATCGACTAATCAAAATTCGCAGATGCATGCATATCTCTTATGTTCATATGTAAATAAATCACTATTCTAAAATATTCAAGAAAGTATTTTTTTTTCTTTGAGAGTATATTAAATATTAGCATATTAAATAGAGAGTATATTAAATATTAGTATATTTGACCAGTATATTGAATTATCTTTAATATTATATATATCTGCAATATTACATCTATTATATAATGAATTGGTAATTTTGGCAAATTATTTTATAATTGATTATTAATTTACTGTAGACTGTAGAATATCGTTACTTTTAAAATAGAATATTATCATTTTTTTTAAATTATGCCATTTCTCTAATTTAAATTTAAAATAAAATATAGAAGTTAAAGTAATTTTTTATGGAAATAAAATAACAATAATCTATCTTAACAAGATTACAGAATTTATATTATTTTGTGATATGCGACTAATATAATATTTGATATTACACGAATTAAACTGAAAATAATCAAATTATAATTTGATGCAAATTAAATATTTCAAAAGCATTCAAATTATTCAATTTAAAACTACTTTTAAAATTATTTTGCATTGAATGCCAAAACATGTCTAGAAATATATTTTTATCTACTTTAAAAAAAAAAAGATAAGATGACGTAAATCTTTTTGGAGTTCTCTGAAGACTTACGTAATTCGCTTTTAAAAAAACCAGTTAAACCATCAAATTTTAAATTAAATTAATTTGCGTAGAAAGTATACATTTAAAATACAAATATTATTTACTTCCAAAATATTATATTAGCTTTTTCAAAGAATCGATATAAGAACATAATCATCACAATTCGCAATATCGAACAGACATCAGGTACGGCTATGTAGTGGACCAGCAGCCGATCGGGAGGTTGCTCTTTCGACAGTTCTGCCAGGATAAGAAACCGGCCTACCATCGTTACAACCTGTTTCTGGACGCGATCGAGAAGTACGAGATCGAGCTAGATGAAAACCGCATCGAACGGGCGAAAGAGTTGTTCGAGCAGTATCTGCGGGAGAGTTCGGAAGTGGTCGATATCTTGAACGACTCTCTGATTTCCCAGTGCGAGGAACGACTCAGCACCGGCGGTAAAGAGCTCTTCGTCGAGGTCGCGCAGACTGTGAAGAACTTCCTTGCTAGCGAACCGTTCTCGGCCTTCCTCAACAGTTTCTATTTCTATAGGTAAAATATCAATAAATATATATTTGCAGTAAACGAATAAAATAAATTTATCCCGATGAAAATTTAAGTTTGAAGACGAATATTGTGGACAATGTTAGAGATTGTAAAGAGAATTTTGAAAGTTTCTACATTTTGGAAGTATCTTTTCTATGTCTCTTCAGGTATCTCCAGTGGAAATGGCTGGAAGCGCAACCAGTGACATACAAGACCTTTCGAATGTATCGGGTGCTGGGCAAGGGCGGTTTCGGTGAGGTCTGCGCTTGTCAAGTACGCGCCACCGGTAAGATGTACGCGTGCAAGAAATTGGAGAAAAAGCGTATCAAGAAGCGAAAGGGCGAATCGATGGTGCTGATTGAGAAGAATATCCTGCAGAAGATCAACTCCAAGTTCGTAGTCTCGCTCGCGTACGCGTACGAGACGAAGGATGCGCTCTGTCTTGTGTTGACAATCATGAATGGCGGTGACCTGAAATTCCACATTTACAACATGGGCGGCGATCCAGGATTTGACATAAATCGTGCCCGATTCTACGCGGCCGAGGTAGTGTGCGGTTTAGAGCATCTTCATCTTCAGGGTATCGTCTATAGGGACTGCAAGCCAGAAAACATACTGCTGGACGACCACGGTCACGTGAGGATATCCGATCTCGGTCTTGCGGTAGAGATCACCGAGGGTGATATGGTGCGCGGTAGGGTTGGCACGGTGGGTTATATGGCGCCCGAAGTAATCGACAACGAAAAGTATACTTTTTCACCGGACTGGTTCAGCTTCGGTTGTCTGTTATATGAGATGATTGAGGGTCAGGCACCGTTTCGAGCCCGCAAGGAGAAGGTCAAGCGCGAGGAGGTCGATAGACGCGTCAAGGAGGATCAGGAGAGGTACTCGCCCAAGTTCAGCGAGGATGCCAGAAGTCTGTGTCAGCAATTGCTGAAGAAGAGTCCGAAGAACAGACTCGGTTGTAAATGCGGCCGACACGGGGCAAAGGAGGTGAAGCTCCATGGTTTCTTCCAATGTTTGAATTGGAAGAGGGTCGAGGCCGGTATGTGGGAACCGCCATTTGTGCCGGATGTAAGTAGATATCGTGATCGATCGCCCTATCAAAACTATGTCGAAACTTTTAGTTATTCTTCTTTTGTTCTCGTTTCGCGCTAGTTATACACGTTTTTGTTGAATGTCTACTTGTTGGTTTATTTATTTATAACACAAAAGTTTTATTTCGATAATTACACCAAATCTCGATATAATATTTATACTTTCGTATATATATCAATCGAATTTCGTATATATATCAGATAAGATATATCAGATAATATATATCAGATAAGCAAAAGAAGCAAAAGAAGCAAAAGAAGGAACGGAAAGACACAGGTAATGGTGCGTGATAGTAATAATATATTATGTGATAGAAACTTTGTCAAATTATTTATCTTATATACAATAAGAAACACAGAATATGTTTAAAATGTATTGTCGACGACAATATTGACGACGTTTCGACCCTGTTCTAGGTTTTTTCAAGTCAAATTCAGTTAAGTTGTATTTAATAATATTATGCTTTTTTCTTATTTGACTTTGAAAAGGATCCAGAGCAAGGTCGAAACGTGTGTGTAAGGTAAATAATTTTACAAAGTTTCTATCATAATATATTATTACTATCACGCATTACTTGCATCTTTGCTTCCTATTAATCTTCTTTTGCTTCTTATTTGATTTGTATCATTTGAATCACTTTTACATTTTTATATTTTTATTTTTTTTTTTGTTAATATATTATATATATATATATATATATATATATATATGTAATATATTATTAATTATATTTCACAATACGCGAAATATGGTTTTCTAGTAATATAATTTACAATAATTTAAAGATAAATCAAAACCATTAATTATGTCTTATTCTTATTCGTAGCCTCGCGCGGTTTACGCCAAAGATGTTCTGGACATCGAGCAGTTTTCCACAGTAAAAGGTGTCAATTTAGATGCTACGGATGATACCTTCTATAGCAAGTTCAACACCGGCAGCGTGTCCATTCCATGGCAAAACGAGGTAAGTGACACACTGTAGACATCACACATTCATATTGTAATCATCGATTGTGAGACATGTTACACGTCACGGAGGCCTTTGACCCTTCTCATAAAAATAATATTGGTTTTACGACCCTCAATAGACGATCACTAACAAGATCCTCATTATAATGTGAATGTAAATCATAATCTTCGTGGCTCATGTGCGAATTTTTTCTATCAAATTTAAAAGACTAATTTTTTTTCAAAAATTAAAAAATTTTGAAAATGTAAAACTTGTAAACATATTTTTGGAAATCAAATATATCTCGGATGAAATAAAAATTAAAGAAAAATAAAATGAAATAAAATAGTGTAAATTTAAAGTCATTTAATATTAAAGTTTTATTATCTAATTGCGCTTTAGGAGCTTCTTTGATTGCTCGACAAGAAAGTGTTTGCTTTACTTTTTGAAAATATTACACGCAACATCTGGAAAACGATGCAAGCACTTGGATCGAAAAATACATAGCTCGTAGCAAAGTGTTTTCCTACGTCAGAAGTAGTGCAAGAGGCACTCGTTATCACTGGCGTTATTCGAGCTGGATGTATTTAAAGACACGATGCTGCGTAGACGCGTTACACACAAGCCACCTTTAGCTTCTACCGATCTTAAATCACTCACTATGTACTTTGCGAACTGAGATCGTTGAGCTGCAATCTCTGACGCGTTCGTCTTCGTTTCCTTTTCTTGCAGATGATAGAGACTGAGTGTTTTAAGGAGCTGAACGTACTAGGTCCTAACAACACGCCCACCCCAGACTTATTGGTAAATCATACTCCGCCCAACAATGAAGATAGAGGGTGTTTCCCCTTTCGGAGAAAGGTAACTTGTGTTTTTTGAACACTTGCAATTTTTTTAAACTTGTTTAAATCTAATTTTGAATAAAAAATAATAATACGAAGGACATCTAAAATATATCGAAAAGATTAGGATATCTTAGATCCTTCGCAATATCTAAAGAATTTTGAAGTATTTTTTAGAGTACTTTTTGAAATTGAAAAACATATTGAAAAGATAATCAAAAAAATTTGTACGCATTTATAAAATTTATTTCTATAAAAAAAGTTATTAAAATATTATTATAATGATATAATATAATGATATATTATAATAATATATTGCAATTATATTATGCAGAGAAAGCAGAGCGCTCGCACAAGGGAGGTTCCACTGTCGGAGTGCTATCTGCAAGAGTTGTCGCAGACGCAGAGCTCGGAAATGCCGGCCAGCTGATCCAGGATGAGCACAAGTAACAGCCTGAATCAATCGACGTCGTCGCCGTTTCGACACTGCTGCCGCGGTTGACGACGACGTGTGTCCAGATGCTGCTGCTGCCAGCGGTTGCTGTGATAAGAGCAAGCCGATCTCTCTGATTTTTCGACGGCATCCGACTCCTCGGTAACTGTTTACGGACACGGCTCGTTTAATAGGAAATCACTACGATTATCCAAAGTGTCATGATCCCCGGCACACTTTCTTGGATTTACTAGATGGGATCTGAAATCCATGCGGTAAGAACTCGCGCGATTCTACACATGTACGCATATACATAGTCATACGCGACACACGCCAGTATTGTATACAGTCAGGTGGTAGGTATCTTCATTACCAAATATATCTTCCGAAGGGTACGACATGCACTCTTGTGCGTATATCGACCTGCTTAATTGAGCCTCAGTGTGTCTCGATTTATGAATCACGAACGAAGATTCAAGACGACATATGCATAGATGGTTATCTTATTCGGCATGATGACGAGGTACGTGTCATTTTCCGAATACGAGAGGTGTCTAACTTGTAAAATGTATCTTATTTCTCATTATTTATAAAATGCTCGAAATTTTCAATCTTGAGTTTCGGCTATTTTAAGTTAAAAAACAATTTAGGAGAGATGAGAAAAATAAATACATTTAGGTGTAGAAAAATGCAAGCGAATGTGCAATCATTTGTGTATGTAAACATTTTTTATATGTACTTACGAAATTTTTTTTTCAAATTGAGATCACATATATATATACATATATATATATAAAATTAATTTATATGATATATTAGTTGTTTTTGAAGAGCGTTTTTTTTCTCATCGCATCTTTATATGATTCTTTTTGTATAGCTTTATATTCTTAACGATCTAGAGATACGTTACCGTACATTAAAAAAATTGGAGAGCGTTATTTTGTCGCGCGATAAATCAAGTGCGAGCATTCGTATATGTGTGAGTGTATGTCGCGATGTAACTTCATTTATATTCGAATCGTTTTAAGTACTTTCTGAGAATCTCGAGACGCAATCGCTCGGTCTAGTTTTCGGTCGACCCCGATATGCAGTTCGTAAGGTCGTATTGTCGGAAGCGATTAAACTAGATGGCCAAGAACTTCGAGTCGTAAACTTCGGAACGCGCGCGATATGACTTTTATGATTTGATGAATATCACGTTCTCGATAGGATGAAATTCGCGCGTTGACCGAAATAGAATAAGAGAGGCGCGTAAACGAGCGATAACGTGAGCGCGCACGTGGAACCGACAGGTCGTAAAAGAGCACGTGACTCGGCGCTCGCCTCGTTCCCGCGATGTATTGCGACGTTAAGCCACCGGCAAACGGATACCCGATACCACTGCGGAGCAAATAAACGCTCGCGTGCACGCTCATCCGTTTATAAACGTTAACCCGATACATGTATCTGGAGGTTGAAGGCACGTGCGTGTAATGTGGAAGCGATGCAGCGGAATTGATGGCGCCGAGAAGGATATATTGATGCAATATCGCCACAAATGGTGACATCGATAAAATGACGAATAAAAATCAACATGTTTCCGGTTATTTCACGTTGCCGTGAAATAACAAGAATAATTCGCTCATCTGCTCGGATGCCTTTAACACAGTTTGACGTTACCGCTAATTCACATAAACGGACAAGTGTGCAGAAAATAAGGAAAGATAATAAACGGGAATTACGTTCGTCGACAGTTTGAAGCGTTGATCGAGTGACATTCGATATCCTTTAGTTTAACAGTGTTTTTCAAAATGTAATTATAATAATCGCATCATAACATTTTTTAGTATCTTTATCTTTTCAGTATCTTCTTTTATCTCTTGAAGAAAGACGTGAGAAATCTCATGATAGGTTAATTCAGTATTCATGGTGATCTGGATATAATTTTAATAAAATAAAAATTCTGATAAATTTTAGTGAAAAGTCAACTCTAAATCTCTCGAAGAATCTATCATTAAAATTAGATTAGAAAATTTCGGGCTAGTCTACTTATCGAAAGAAGAAACACGATACTATTACAATATATTAAAATCTTATTTTTATTGCATTACATTATCTTAAATTTTGGCGATTTATTTTCTGTTCCGACTGTTCTGACAAATAAATTCCTGCGACGCTTCGATAACGTTGTCTGAGAAACGAATGAGAAGACTTTACGAATCGCGCGACGGATTGAATTAACGACACACTTTCGGACAGTTTGCAAGCACTTTGGCCGTTCTCCAATCGTCCAATTCGCGTGCCAACGATTGAAGTTCTTCGGCTATTACATATCTGGCAGATAGTTGTCGCGGACCATTGTGTCGAGAATGTCGAGTAGCTCTTCTTCTTAATGTATCTCGTAAACTCGGATGCGAACGTCGATGCACTCGAAATTGCGCCTCTTAATCGCATTGAGAATCTCTATTACAGAAACCGGTATCGCCAATAGACTTGCACAAAAAATAATATCGATCGATATTAAAAGTAACAGTAAAAATAGGTTGAAACATTTTATTTTTATCTTAACATTTTTCGTACGCGGAACATATTTATTTAACGCGTTAACGAATTTCCATCATGTATTGAAAGATTGAACTCAATATGTATATAATTGTTGTATGAACTTACATAACATTTAGTTTTGGAAATCTGACATAAGGATGATATAGTTTTTCTCGAAAGAGATGAATGATTGTAAAAATGAAATTATTAAATAAGATAAATGTTTGAAGAGGTCGTTTTCTAGATTTACAAGCAAATCATAAGTAATTTCTTGTTTCTTTTGTTATATAAAAATATTATTTTGGTAAAACAATTATTGTTAGAAAGAGAGGTAAACGTGATTGCACAAACAGGCTCACGATTGTGTAAATTAATGCGAATTAACAGAAAGTATATATTCGAGATTTGCAAGTGAAAGTTTTCAAATTGATAAGCAAGAAATTGAATCGATTTTGTGGATTGAATTAAAAATTGCACATTTTATCACGTAATTATGCTATTACATACATTATGATGTGAACAAAATATATCTCGGCTATTATTAGGCTGCAATTTATAATAAAAAGCACAAATTTTTTGCGTCTAGCCATACGAACAACACTCCGAACAAACTTCTTTTCATGGCTCTATGTATTGTTAAGATAATTATTCTTTATGATGATTACATGTTAAAATAAGTAAGACTAATTTACCGTAACCGAGACTGATTGAAGAATGGAGGTCAAATGTCTCTCGGTTAAGTATTAAGAGAGTTGATCATTTCTCATATTATGTTTAGATATTTTCTCTTGACACACAGACACATGTCGCATTTGTAATATTCAACATACATATATGAAAGAGAAAAATATTAAATATTAACATATTACATTTTGAAAAAATACAGAAAAAGATGTTATTTGAGAAAAAAAAATTTTTCTTTTTTCAAAAAGTAATACTGGATACAGAAAATTCGAAATCTCTTTCTCTCACAACTCAGGGCATTATTTTTGACACTTGACTGATATTTGACGTCCATTTTTTAACGTGCACATAATATCGGACATTGAAATGATAGGATATGTACATCTAACAATAAGAGAGAACAATGACTGGAGTGATTTAAGTTAATCGTTAATTAACTTCCCTGGCGTCGATTCTTATCACTGATACATAATTTACGTGGTAAACATGTTATTCTATCACTCACATTGTAATGATTATGTCAACCGGCTCGAGATCGATGTATGATAAAGCAGGTATGAAAACCCCTCTTGTCAAATAAATCGCGAAATAAGCACTCGCTCATGAAGACATTATGTCGCACGGCAAATTTCTCATCGTCGACGCGGACGCGAAAGCATTACTATTTGTCAAAATGTAAGTAGAAAAAGAAAAGTTTCTTTTTTAAATTTTGTTTAATCTTAAAACTAATCTTGAAATCTAAAGATTGATTCGCAAATCGATATTTAATTACGTACAATATTAAATACAATAAATCGTTAATTAATTAATTAATTATTTATAATAAATTTTATGCAGAAATGAATAATACTTTTCTACCTTTGTGGCAGATATTTTAAGCTCCTCCTTATTAAAAAATTAGCGAACAATGTTTAATGTAAAATTTTAATTAATGACACAATCAGTTTGTAATTATTTGTAATTAACCCTCCCCATGTCGGCAACACACGATCTTATATTTTAGAATAGAGAATCTTTCGTTATTTTTCAACTGTGATTTCTCGAAGTGTCTCCTGTCTAATCCTGCTAGATTGTTAATTTATATTAAATGGTTCAGAGATATTTTGTAAGATATTACTTCCTATCGCACATTCATCGTTTTACATTCACACGGGTAAGATACTGCGATCTAAGGAGATTCGTTACGAGATCTATTACAGTCTACAGTGATTGTAGACTATGCGATGTCCGACTATTATACATATATTCACGAAATACCAAATTATTTAATAATTTTTCTAAGTAGACAAGCGCGTAACTTATTCACATATATATATATATATATATATATATATATATATATATGTATGTATATATATATATGTATATATATATATATTTTTGCTTATGTATGTAACGTAGTTATAAATAGGTACATACACATACACGTATATATATATATATATATATATATATATATATATATATACATGTATACATATATATATATGTATATATATATATATATATATATATATATATATATATATATATATATATTACATATTATGGTCTAGTTTCCACCAAAGTCTTCAATTCGATTCTGCTTCAGTACGCATCGAACATTTAATGTTTTTAATATATTGTTTCCACTGGAAATATGATAGAAACGAGAAAGCTTGATACTTTAATAAAGCCAACTTAACTTTTGCTTTTTTGAATATAAACAAACATAATCTTTGAAGAATACATGAAGTACAGTTAGTTGAATAAAAAAACAAAGAAAAAATCACATTTATTTTTAATTTTTCTAAATAATTTTTTCTTTGCTCCCACCGGTTGAGGATTTTAATGCCTCCTTTTGAATAATGAAAAGTAAAGGTTGGCTTGGTGGAAACCAGACCTATGATAGACTGCTGGATATACTTTTGCAAATAGCATTCGCTTCTCTTGTACAATACAATTCGTATTTAAATGACGCACCTGTGTAAACATTTCATTGACGCGATTACATATTCAATATGAATTAGGTATTCCGTAATTATATAAAATCTCATCGAAAGAGGAAGAGAATACTTTGGAAATATCAAATTATATATCGCTCTTGTTGTGTGCCTGTACATAATTACATTTGCACGCTATTCTCTCGTTGAGCAAGCTCGAGGCCAAATGTTCTCTAGTGATGATGAATTAATTAATGAATAATAATGGAAAAAAATGTTTGATTTAAGAAGATGGATATATTCTCCGCGTCGTACAAACATTTGATAGTTCCATTCCATTTCGTCACGCAAGTGAAACGTCAATCTTTGTCCTTATCTTTATAGGATTTTGAAAGGATCCTCGAAAGATAATTAGATAATAGCTAAATGCCTAAGCAGATACATTGCTTTTGCCAGTTTGCCATGTCTGTTGTGCGAGAGAAAGATATATTTTGAAACAGGCTGAAAGTATTAGAATGCACGCGCTTTTGAAGACGATCAAAATCGATCGCTGCGAATGTATGGAGAGCAAATTGCGCGCGAAACGAGTGAAATTATCGCGATGATATATTTTA